TCACACTACACTTCATTTGTGTTTTTCCAATGCCAGACGTATAAGATTCAAGTTCCTTCATCTATATATTACATAGGAATGGTCTGGGTTTGTGTAGTGTGGTGAAAACTGCCTGCTTTTCTGTTTAAGGAGATGCCTTTTCTCCTGACTAAAGTATATTTCCTAATAATTATGCTGAAGTTGTTTATAAAACTTTACAAGTTTAGTCTCTGCCTGAAGTAATTGATCATAATTTAAATGGATTTTCAGTAAGTCTGGTCCTGGTTAGTAGGAAACTGTTCTCTGCAAATAATTAGAAATTCAGCTGTGCTCGTCAGCCACAATTATAGTGGGTCATTAGTTTCAATGTAGTTTCTGTACCAAAATCTTCTTATGGATATTTAAGAAAGCTAAAATATGATACCAGAGGGCCCAGAAAGCCCTCTGAAAGAAAGCAAGGTGTAACAACATTGGTGTGTACTACTGAGGTCTTACAAGAACCAAGACAGCTTTTAGAATGCTGGTGCTTTCCTCTGTAACATTCTGGAGGAAATAAAATAGATTGAGATGTGATCTCATTCCTTTATTTCACTGTGTCAGAATCCACCTTCCAAAAGAAATGCTATTCACCAGAAATGAGCAGAGAGAGAACATACAGGTTGCTTATCCTACAGCCTCCATTTTTAACCTTCCCAACAAGCAGTACTTTTCTTTTCCTTCCACCCTTGCTCAGAAAAAAACAGTAATATTTGCCACAGAAATAACTCAATTCTAATGGTTTTTTTTAGGATTCCTCCTCACCATCTGGTAGCCGCCAGAGTGAACGGGTAAGAACTTCTTCCTTATGTATTGTCAGGGTGTCTGACCCAAGGCTTGGCAACTGCCAGCCACCTAAATCCTGGGTGGAAACTGGTGTGGCAGCTTCCAGTGTGGGATAGAAAGTCTTCAAGCACAGAGGGAATGAGGATATGGCTAAAGAGTCAAAGCACTGGTAGGAATCCCAACCGATGCTGAGGTGTGCTCTTGAATATCAAACTCACCTCACAAACGTGATACCACAATTCACTTGTTCAGGATCCTGGGCTTTTAAATCATTGCTTAATTGCAAAGAGCTTCAATACTATGATTTTTACAGCATTTATTCCAAGTGCAACCCTTTGCTTTGCTGTGCTGTTTGAGGGCTTCCATTTTTCTGCCATTTTTACATGGCACCCGCTGTATTTATTCCAATGAGGATTAAATAACACAGACTGAGAAATTATTTTGTTGGAGATATAATAATTATTTAGTTGTTGTTTCCCAAAGAATATCTTCACCAAAAGAGGAATTATCAATAGTCATAAAGAGGCATGTGCTGTTTTATACAGAAAGACAGATTTTAATTTTTGTTATTGAACAATCCATAAGAGAAAATTGCGGAAAGTGGAGAAGCATGGAATGTTTAGCTTCCATCCTGATCTTTCCAGGTTTTGATTTTTGTTTTTTTTCATGTAATTTCAATACATTTTTCCAGGATTTTTATTCCCCAGGAGGCAGCCAGTCAGGTGGACATGTAAGCATCTATTTTATTCATTATTTGCAGTTCTACTATTAAAAAATTATCCCAATGAGTAAACTGTACCAAGCCATTTATTTCCTAGAATTTCTCATGACATCTGGCATCATGTCTTGTGAAATCAAATGGCAAACTGTTTGGAAAGAAAAAATTAATAATTGTATGTCTTCAACATCAGTCTTGATTTCCAAAAGCCATTTTAAGCAAAAATAAATTGCATCTGCTTTTTATAGGGATCATCTTCTCAAGGTGGTGGCTACTCGAGTGGGCAGGTAAATATTAAATCTTTGTATTTTCATCCTGAAGTATCTGCTATACAAACGTTTGAGGCCTCATATTGTATTACAGCAATTCTTTATTTGTGGAAAAGATGGATTTATCCTTCATTCTATATCTCTATGTAAAAGCCCAAGTGTAAGCAGAGTGGTCAAAATACAATTCCTGTCTTAACTGATGTTCTAAGATCAGGAAAAAATAAAGTAATACATATTTAGTCTCAATTTGTATTTTTAAAATAAAAAATAAGTAATTTTAATTTTTTTCAGGCCTCATCATCATCTGGAGGCAGCCAGTATGGTGGGCAGGTGGGAAACTTTTCTTCATTGTTATTGTGAGGGTTTTTTTCCCCTGGTGTACGTATTTCCAGAGAGTATGGCCAGACTGGTAATAACTAAGTTTCCAGACTACTGTGTGGTTCATTTTGTCCTCATTAATCTTTTCATAGATAAAATTTCAAACATAGCTAAAAAAGACAATACACTGTAAACAAATGCACATGTCAAAATTTAAAGAAAAAATTTTAAATGAGAATATAACATTTACAGGGTTCATCTTCTTCAGGAGGCAGCCAGCCTGGTGGACAGGTATGATTTTCTTGCTCCACAGTCTTCAGCTGTGTTAGTGTCAGGCACTCACAATTATCTTTTCATAGCTTTCCTTCACCAGAACTGTTTTCCTTCACCACTGCTCTTTTTGCCCAAAGCCTCAGTGACGCATTTCCTTTTGCCATGTCATTTGGACATTCTGCAGGCCAGAGTAGCCATTAGTAACTATCTGGGCTTCTCTGCCTGCTTTGGTGCTTTTCTTCTTACACATTTCATGCAGATCGACTGTGGAAAGCGAGACACTGAATGGTGAACTCCTGGCCAGCTCTCAGATAGTTTTAGCAGAATAGCAATCACCTGTTTTCTGTATCATCTGTAACAGGACATAGTATTGCATGTACTCCAGGTGCTCTGGCCTCTCTAGGAAAAAAAATTGCTTTCTGCAGTAGTACTCAGAATTTTTTAATCATCCTTCTGGTGAGTAAGGTTTTTAAGGTAAAGACTATACATAAGAAAATATGAAGATAACAAAATTAGCATTTTGTTGCTCCATCAGAGCAGTAAGTGCAGAAATAGTTGCATAGGATGAAATAAGCTCATTTCTAGAAGTTGGGCAGTTAAGAATTTATCTTTATGGTTTGCACACCTGGGATGGTAGCAGTAATTTGAATTGTACATGGAGTCCATTTCATTCCTGTGCTCTTGATATCTTAAATACTTTCTGCATTCTTTACAGGGTGCATGTGATTGTTCTGGGGCAAGTTCTGTAAGTGCTACTTTTTCATTATACATTTTCTGTTACTAAACTATTTAACTGGAAAATTATCAGTGATCCTATTTATTTTTAATTTACTTACTTGAATGTACTCCGAATTTCATATTCATTGTTCCTTTGGTTACTTAGATGTTTCTGATACAGTAGGAGCTATTTCTCATTGAAGAATTCAGTGTTATAGAATCATTGAATCATTTAAGTTGGAAAATGTCTCAAGTCCAACCATTAACTCAGTACTGCCAAGCCCACCACTAAGCCACGTCCCTAAGTGCCACATATACACATCTTTTAAATATATCCAGATGTGGTGACTCAACCCCTTCCCTGAGCAGCCTGTTCCAGTGCTTGATAACCCTTTCAGTGAAGAGTTTGTTTCCTAATATACAATCTATGCCTCCCCTGGACCAACTTGAGGCCATTTCCTCTTGTTCTATTGCTTGTTACTGGAAAGAAGGCACCACCCTCCACCTCACTATAACTTCCTTTCAGGCAGCTGTACAGAGCAATAAGGTCTCCCGAGCCTCCTTTTCCCCAGGCTAAACAATATGACAGATAGATACAATATGATACTTTGTGATTTACAGGCTTCCAGGCCAAAAAAAGACTATTTGTTATCTTGGTAAATTGATAAAAGGAAGTGAAGTCTAAGTGCAATTATTTTCAGACTGTGATAGTTCTTCTTTGAAATGTCATAGAATAGGCATTTTAAGATTTTGTTTCATTTCCAGTTTATGATCAAAGACAAAGGCTAATTTTTCTTTCCTTTTGTTTTGCCCCCTTATAGGGTGGATCCCCTACCTTAGTCAGAAGTGATGCCTCTGCAAATGTAAGCAATCTTCATCATCTTTTAAGTGTGCCCTCTGTTTGCTTTGTCTCCTTTGCTGGAGAGTTTAAAAGAGTCAGTGCCTAATAGAAATCATACATTTGTGAGAATAACATACCTTAGTTTCAGTCAAAAATATAGAGGACATTCATGCAACACTCAGTTTCTCTTTCAATTTGAAATATTTTCATGTAAAGAGAAGTCTTTCAACGAAAAATGTTTGTCATAAATGCAGCTACATAACAGTATATATATATTTACTTGGGGAGTCAGTTCCATTGGCTTCTTTGGAATTCTGTAAAAATACCCCCAAGGATATGGATTTACATGATTGTATTCCTTTCAGATCATTTACTGCAAAAAAAGGTCATTATTCATAGGTCGGTCATCTCATGTTGCTCGCCCTCTCACAGGGATAAGATCATTTTTGCAGGAGAGATCTGTTTGCAGCACTCTCAAGACCAGTTCTGTTCACTGTGTGTTGGAAAGTCATAACGTGTGTCATGGGATCTCTGTATGTGCTGCACCAAAGGGAAGAAAAACGTTTGGGTCTTTTTGCCTCTAGCACAGGACTCTGTGGTATTGTACCACATTGTACCAGGCTGCTGGCTGATACAGAGCTGTCTGGGACACTGCTACAGAAATGTGCTATACAGAAATTAATACAGCACGGTAAATAGGACTGGTCTTGTGCTCCCTTGTAGGAAGGAGGAAAGTGTGTGTATCTACAGTCAGGAAAATATTCTTAACTACCTATGTTCTGCATCCTTCTTATTACTGTTGTTGCTATTTGCTTCCTTTGAAACTTCCAACTGGGATTGATTCTTTTTGGTTTTTTACTGACTTGGCTGTCTTTGGGCAGCAGTTTGGAATTGAGGATTGTGCATAAAGACTGAGGGAACGTAGTGGAGTGTCTGCATCAACAAGTTCTGCAAACTGCAACAGTGCTGATGAACTGACGGCCATACTACACACATTTCAGGAATGGTCTGCTCTGGTCTGGTCCCACAGGCCAGAAGTCCATTTACTACCTGAATACATTAAGTGCACCCCTAGAGAGCATTTTAAAATTTAGTTTAATCTGAATGGCATCCAGTTAATTCCCTCTTAGACTACCCCACGTTACAAAAATGAGCCACAGTGAGTGGGAACTATCAGGACTTTTGTCTCAAGGGGACACTCCCGATCTGTACTTTAATGCATAGATACACCCAGTACCTCACCACAGGAGAGCAGCTTTTGCATCCTGAGGGTAGATCTCAGTTCTTCCCCAGGTACATAGTGCAGTTTACCTCAGACTGTCATCTTTCATATTTTCTTTACAGAGCAATTGAAAAGTCATGTTACACAGTTAATTCATGATTAAGGACACATTTCTGATACATGTTTCACATTATGTGCTAAACGAAAAACAGTTTATCGGCTTAGCAGATCTTGTGGAAACTCAGAGTACTCTAAAGGTCTGTAGTACTCTGGAAGAATTAATACGAAAACTTTTTGTAAGGACGTAATTCTTCAGTGTCGTGATTTTAAAATGAAACAAAAGCTGCCCATCCTTCATTCATATCCTTTGAAGTGAAATAGCCAGTATTTCCTTTCTGAAGGGGCTCTGGAGGCAGCCATTCTGGTCCACAGTTACACGCTGAATTGTAGACGTATTAACAGAGCAGGGAGGGCTCGATTTGACATTTTGAATGGATTTTAAACCCAAGCAAAAAGGTTTAAATTATAAATTTATATACCGCTATCCTTCAAGAAGTTTTGCTTTGAAATAGTTCTTTTAGAGAAAAATAACTGATTGATTTGTTGTCTTTGTTTTTCCCAGGACTCATCTTCTTCTGGAGGAAGCCAGTACAATAGCCAAGTAAGCACTCATTCCAAAAGGAGAGACAGTTTTTCACATCAATTAAATTCAGTTTCTACATGGAAACTGTGTATAAAACAAAAGCTCAGTAAATGAAATTCATCAAGTTTGATATGTCCTAAAAATTACACACAAGGGGTTTTTTAGCAATTAGTGCCCTTGTTTTTGTGAAAGTTGCATCATGAAGCTCACCAAAACAAAACAAAAAAGAAAAAAGTGTGGGGAAAGAGTTAATTAATATGTAGCATTTTTTATTACTAGTGGACCTAACCCCATTATGAAGAAAAACAAATCCAATCTCCCCTCTTTAAAGAAACCTCCTATTATAGGAGGTTTCAGTAAATCTGCTAAGTTCGGTTTTCAGTGGCCTGTTGAGTAGCCAATATTTTACTGCTAGCTTGGGCCCAGCACTCAGCTTTCCAAATAAAGAAATTCCATTCTCCAGAAATGAGCAGAGAAAGAACTGGAAACAATGCCACTTTAACCTTCCCAACAAGTCACACAAACAAAGCAGTCCATCTTTGCCTTCCACCCTTGCTGAGGAACTCAGGTATTTCTTCAGCTTACCTTGTAAGGCTTGAACATTAAAGCATAATGAAAGTCCTGCTCACCTGTCTTCACTCTTACCTTGCTCTCTGGGAGAGTCATGTTTTGGTTTAAGGAAATCCTACTGCAGGTGATTCACTCATTTGGTATTCTTTGCAGGATTCATATTCCTCAGGAGCTAGCCAGTATGGAGGACATGTAAGCTCTTACTTTTAATATTTTATATGATATATTTGTTTTATAAGTATTTGACTCGTATGGAGTAGAAGATGTCAATTTAGTATTTCAAGAATATTGAGTGGTCTGTATTCTGCATTAATAATGTGAATTCAAGGAAGACAAAAATACAGTTTATTCTGGTTTAATTGCACACAAACAAATAAAAAAAAATATAGATCTCTTCGCTGCTCATCTCCATGAATTAGATATTCAGAAATAACCAATTTTCAATATTTTTCCAGGGGCCATCTTCTTATGGAGGCAGCCAGTATGGTGGACAGGTAAGCATTTAATAGTCCCTGCTCTTGTAGTTTTGACCTATGCAAAGCTGCAGTTTATTCATTGTCTACCTGGCTGTCTATTTTAGCTTTAATTTAGTCTAAAATCTTCTCAGTAAATCTTTCTCAGTAACGTTCTGGTGCCACTGTGATTAAACAAAACAAGTTCAGATGAAGGTCATTATTTAAGACTAAATAAAAATAGAATGTGAAATACATGGTTGACTCAGCTCCTGAAATTTGCAGGACTAAAGGTTATGTATTTCTTAAATAAATAAGTACTTCATGAAGTTAACCAAAATTTTTGAAGTCTCATGAAATGATTCTATGAGTCTATGAAATAGGTGTAAAAAAGTTTCAGTTTCCTTTTTTGTTTATTTTCAGGGTTCACCATCCTCAGGAGGCAGCCAATACGGTGGACAGGTGAGAGTTCTTCCCTTGTGGTGTTTACTACTTCATCAGAGGCATTTGATAAATGTCTCTGTGTAAAAGAACATTTTAAGGAGATTGTGTTTTATTTTGGTGATTTTTTCCCCATGTTTTATCTAATTTTTTGCTAGGTATATAGTAGTTATAAATGTATGTGACACAAAGCCACAGAAGAGTTTTTAAGAGAGAATTTCTGGTGCTTCATGGTAAATGGAGATGATTCTTACCCATTTGTGGATCAATCCACTCACAGTTCTGCAGTGAAAGAAACTGAGTACTTCTCCCTCATGTGGAGCATGGTTCAAAGGAGTAGAATGACAGATAGAGATCATTTAATTCTTTTTTGTTCAGGGTTCACCTACTTCAGGAGGCAGCCAGTATGGAGGACAGGTGAGAATCTCCTCCTGTGTAGTTCTTATTCTAACATGCAGTTCCAATACTTTTATATTGACTGAAAAAACACTGAGTAAACTCTGTTGATCTGATAGTAGATGGTCAGCTATCTAAAGACGTATCTGAAACAGTACAAAACCTAGGCAGATCTGGTGCTTCTGTTGTATCACAGTAAATGCAGTTTTGGCCTTGTTTTACCCTCCAACCTGCCCTGCTGCTGTCAAGGTTTCTTAGCTCTAACAGTGAGGAGTGGCTGGAAGGAGATTTCACTCCTCCTCTACCTCACCTCCTTAGGCAAAATGCAATATCAGAGGTGATGTCAGAGAAGCAGCATGTCTCAGAAGAGGAAAAGGGCAGAAGATCAGGAGTTGCTAAGAGTTCCATGCCCTTGTGAAATGGAAGATGATGGATAAGGTTCCTAGTGCTGGCTGGTGGTATAGCCTCTAATATGGGGTGACATCCCCAACAAACTCATCCTGGGACTCAGAAAACATTTATTGTCAGATTTATTGGAAAGGGGCTTAGAGGAGAAAGAGATTTTCAGTTCAAGTATAGTCTCAAAAAGCTACATATATATCCTAATAGCTCATGATCAATATTACGGAAGATTCATGTGTTAAGGACACCCCCTAATTTGCTCAGAACAGATAAAGCAATAGTTTGAATGTCTATCTTCCTGTAATTTTTCATTGTGCAACAGAGAAAGAAAATAGTCTTTCTTTAAAAAGCTCTTAAAGAAGCTTTTTGATTTGAGAAATAATTGGCACCTTTGCTTCAGGGTCCATATTTCCCAGGTGGCAGCCAGTATGGAGGACAGGTGAGAACTGTTTTTCTGTTTATGGATTGTTTCTTCCATTGTTCATCTTTCCATTTTTTGTGAAAAATAGAATACTTTGTAAAGGGGTAGCTTACAGCAAAGCAATATTAAGGCAGAACAGATGAATGTATCCCTTTCTGATGTATCAGCCCGTTCTCGTAAGTCAAACATAGGAGGCTGCTGTGAGCACACAGTCCAGGGCAGCAGCACTGCTCACACCTGCCTGACACTGACTTTGATTCACACTTCATTGTTCTGTCTAAACAGCAGCCACTGCAAAGACCAGTGGCTTTCAGGATGGTTATAAATAAGTGTTTGCATTCCTATGACACTTAAATTCATGGAAGACAAATAAAAATGTGTTTTTCTGTGGCAGGTCATGAGTTAAATAATGTGCAACAGGTATAAATGCTTTCTCATTTCTTTAGGGTATGCCTTCTTCAGGAAGCAACCAGTACAGTGGACAGGTAAAACTAACTTTCATAGTACCTGCAGTTTGGGTACAGCTAGAAAAACATTAGGAAAATGGGCATGTATTTTTTGCAAAAAAAGAACATTCTAAGAAAGAATGGCTTAAAGCCAGGCTAAGTGAGGATTGCTAAGTATGGATGCAACTGGTATGTCAGATCACGGTATGAGCAAATGATACAGGGGCCTGTGGGACTGCATGGAAATGCTGCTTTAACAGATCATGGTTTGAGAAGCCCTTTTTTTTGTTGTTACATTTAAACAGAAGAAATTTCAAAGACTGAGCACCGCAGAGAACAAGTGAGGATGTTACTCAGTAACACAGAAATAATTAGTCACTCATTTTTTCCAGGGCTTTTCTTCGGGAGTCAGACAGTCTGGTGGACAGGTATGTTCTTTCTTGGCACTGTTCAGTTCTGCTAGGGTCAGGTACTCACAAACTGCTTTGTGTAGCTTTCCTTCATGAGACTCTTTTCCCTTTACACATTTCATCCAGACTAAATGTGGAAAGTGAACCACTGAATAGTAAACCCCTGGCCACCTCTTACTTAGTTTTATCAGAGTAGAAATTACCTAAAAAGCCTCAACTGGAAGTCATCTTTAGTGTTTCCTGTAACATCTGTAGCATGAAAGAGCAGTGTGTGTGTTCACAGAATCACAGGGTATGCTGAGTTGGAAGGGACCCATCAGGACCGCCGAATCCAACTTCTAGTCCTGAGCAGCACACCCCAAGAGTCACATAATGTGCCTGAGGGCATTGTCCAAATGCTTCTTGAACTCTGGCAGGCTTGGTGCTGTGACCACTTCCCTGGGGAAATTCTGCGTGCTCTGGTCTCCTCAGGGGAAAAAAAATAAAATCTGTATTACTATTCAGAATCTGCTACTCATCATTTTAGGGAATAGGTTTTTACTGTAAATTTTAAATGATAAATTAGAAAATTCTACTTAAAAAATTGATGAGTAAGTGTACAGCTAGCCTGAAAAGGGCAGGGGAGGCAAAAAGAAACTACTTTTTAGATGGAGCTTCGGGAGTCTGTGAGCATGATTTGATAGTCCATTTGCTTAGAGTTAGCAGAATGTGATTTATGAATTCAGAGGCCTATTCCAGTCATAGACCCAGGAAAGTAAGTTTGGTTGTGTTTTGTACAGGGTGGGTGTGTGTGCCCCGGTGGAGGTCCAGTAAGTATTCTTTGTCTTTATATATTTTTCATAGTATGCACACACACTGGAAAATTCCCAAGGAGCTACGTTTCTTTAAATAATTCTGTCTGTGAAATTCTATGATGTATGATGGAAGTTTTCATCACATTATGCTGAATTGAACAATTTTGAACCTGCTGAAGACAAAATATTAAGTGACTTGCAACTGTAGTACAGTATTCAAAACTACCTACTGAGTTTGTGAGAGAGGCCTGGGACTTTTCTAAGAATCTGTTTTCCAAACATCTCATTGGGTTTTGGATGTATGTGTGTAACAGTGCTGCTCTTATGATGCTTATTAACAGCATGATTCAGCTAGTGAAACTCAGATCTAAAATCATGTCCCCAGATGCTTTCAGATTGGAGCAGAGCAATGCACTTTAAAAGTTAAAGATATTTCCATTTTTTTCTGCTTAATTAGTATATTCCTTATACTTTTGTAATTACTTTAAAAACAAAAAAACAAATGCCCCCTCCCAACATCTAAAAACCCCCACTCCACTATTTTGCTGAGATCAAGCTAATTTACTTCTAAGAGATGATTCAGTGACTTGTGTGCTCAGTATACTCAAAATTGCTTAAATGACTACTTCTCTTTCTCTGATTACACAACCAAGCAAAACCGCATGCTCAAGTACACAACTCATGACACCCATGTAAATTCTGAGAATCAAGTGTCAAAAATAACCTAAAAATTAGACTTTATACAAAGAGAAATTATTTTATAATATTTATCACTTATATATGAGATATATATTTATATATCATATTATATATATATAAACATATATATTATATATAAACAAAAAATACTTGACATACAAATCAGGATGAATAAAAACTAAATCCTTTACTTGTTTAATCAAAAGTATAGTAATAACCAGTGTAAATGACTTGATCACTGCAATTGGTCAATACGTTCTCTTGATTCTCCTCTGTGACATTGAATTTAACACAGCATAAACATTCCTATTTCTGTTGAACACAGGGCTCTTTCGGAGGAGCCAACTACCCTGGTGGACAGGTAGGCAGTTTGTCTTTAACATTTACACAGATTAGTTCCTCAGGAACTATTCCTCAGGAATAAACATGGCTCAGTTGCCATATTTGCCCAGAACCCATCAAATATTGAGCTCAGTTTAGTCACAGAGATAGGGACAATAATTGCAGAGGGGGCTCTTACTGAACCACTCTTGACATTCCAGTTTTATCTTTCTATGAACTAGAGTCAAGATTTTACTGTGTAGCTACAGGAGCTTTCTTACCTCAAAAAAATTACTGAAGAATCATTCACAGGGTTCATCTCACGGCCAAAACCACTAACACGATGTGTGGACAACTAGTCATTTGCCACTGCATTAATAAGTGTGTCAAGTTTTCCCAGTTAATCAATGTCAGGAGTATTGTTTATACTAGGCCCAGGATTTTTTTTTTCCAGATGCTATTTAGAAAACTATTTATGAAAATTTCATGTTCTTTTTACAGGCTTCATCATATTCTGGAACCAACCAGTATGGTGGACAGGCAAGCACCTTTTCTTTGCTTTCAAGATCTTTTTTCTACTTGCTACTTGCTAAATGACAAATCTGGTGCAGTGCATATACTGGCGGTTTCTCAGAGAGACTCTTAAATGTTTGAAAACAGGGACCATCTCTCAGTAACTGAAATGGAGTAGCACAAACAAATTTCAATTTAAAGAAATTCCTCAGATCATAAAATAATAGTTGTTTTACCTCAGAATGTCTCTTATCTCAAGTGATAATTTTAATTAACCATTTTTATATGTCAGTTTCACATTGCTATGACACCAGTTCAAAATATATTTTCCATGTTTTTTTTAATTATATTGAAGTTTGTTAGTTTGTTTGTTTTTTAATTTTGTTTATATTTAATCTAAACAAAAATTGGAAAAATTTGGCACAAAACATACCAATAGGTATTGCTTTGAAAATATAAATTCTGGTGTGGTGCACCCAATAATAGTACTTTCCTCATCTGCAGCTGCAGTTCAAGTCTTACTGTAATCATCTCCCTGAGTACCTTTTCTAGACCTAGTAGTTTGTAACTGATTCAGAAATCCTACCAGTGCAAGTAGTTGACAGATGTAATGGATGACTGTCTAATAAGATGGAGCTTATTTTTCCTTAGTATTATTGTGTTTGCAATGTTTCACTCTGCTATACTAAAAAAAAAAAAAGTTCCTTTCACTCCACTGGCAAGCAGTTGAGTTCAGTACCACTCTACAAAGAAGATAATCTCTTGTAGCATGGAGAGGATTTTTACAGCTGCTAATCAATTCTTCTCCCAAATCACCTACCTAGAATAATAAGGATATTTTTACAATAATACACATGATGCTGCACTCTGAACACACCTGATGTAGCAAAAAATCACAAATAAAGTAGATTTATTTTTCTTTTGAAAGCCGTATGTAAGACACTTTAGATCCATTTATTTATGTAACAGAACAGCCTTAGCAGGTAGTTGGTGACTGTTTGCCCAATTTAGTACTTTCAGCTGTTAAGGAACTTAGAGACCTTAAGTCAGAAGTCTTTCACTGCATCTTTTTAGATTATTATACTTTCCAGATTGTTACAGAGATCTCCTGTTAAAAGTCATTCTGTGAGGTTTCATTCTGCACAGAAAAAAAAAAAATAAAAGTAACTGCTATTAAATTCTCAAATTCTTTTCAATAGGGATCTTATCCCTCAGGAGGCAGTCAGTATGGTGGGCCGGTGAGTATATTATCTTTCCATCCCATCACTCCTAACTTTTTCCTAACGTACTTTCTAGATCAGGTCAGTTACTTGATGCTGAAAGATACCTTCATTTGGCCATTTTATAAAGCCTAAATAGTTGAGGTAACACCAATTGGTCGTTTCAGCAAGGTGAATAAAAGATTTGGTTACAGTGAATTACTGCTCTGTGTAAAACACTCCTTTGAATGCACTATAACCACCAAACTGTATTTCATCACCCTGCTCTCGGTTCAAATTGCCACTGGGTTGGTGTGCTGTACAGAGCTGAAGTTTTAGGTACCCCATTTACTGGTTTTGTTCAAATAACATCCACATAAGTTTGTCCCAAGTACTGCACAAATTGTCTCAAGGCAGTGACAGAAGATTTTTCCTTCAATTAATAGATAATGCATTGACTTCTTACAGGGCTCATATTCTTCTGGAGGCAGACAACCTGGTAAACCAGTAAGTAAAAAAAAAAAAAAAATTCAAATTTATCTTTCTTTCTTCTTATACACCGGTTAAAAAAACTGTATCTAGTCAGTTATGGACCAGGCAGTTTTCTGAGAATTACTTCAATATGCAAAGAGTTTCACATGATTTGGTCATCTGGGATAATCTCAACAAATGCAAACACAATATTTATTTTCACACAGTTCTGTTGTTTTGAGACAGCATTTTACTATGTAACTGAACTTCTAGTAATCACAGAATGAGATCACAGGATTTTATTTTTAATTTGTTTGTTTAACTAACTTCTGAACAGTTATTTCTGTTTAAATTCAAAATAATCATACACTTTGTCCTCAGGGCTCAGTTTTTCATTGATTTTAAATGCATTCGTCTTAAGCATTTCTGGCTTGCTTTGAAGAAAATGCTTACTTTTTCTTTTTGAAGGCAATAATAGTTGCCATTTAACTATGCATATTTTCAACTTCTCACATGTCAGACTACTGTTTTTACTGTGTAATTTGGACCTTGCGCTTGCCCTTCAATGGCAGCAGATACCATTAAGCACACACAATGTTTTAGCTTATGTCTTATAGAAAAGAAGGTGTACCTGTTATTAAAAAGTGGGCATAAATGTTATATTTTCTAAGATATGAATCATAAAGGCGAGACACTTTGTGTCCTGGATTTGATGGCATTTCTTAAGGAGTCAATGCTTGTAACATTTCCTGTTGGCAATGCCATTCAAATGAGCAGAGCCACTTTCCCAGAAAGCTGAATAAGACGTTTTATTTTTCTATATTCATTTTTTTAAGAGTTACTTTTCTTATTAGAGTTGTCTTCAAATAGGGGCTGTAGAATGAAGGACTCTAACATTTGCATTTTTTGTTGGTGGTGTCTTTTTTTTCCCCCCAAATGTAAACATAGATGGATACCAGGTGAATTAATGTTTCATTAGACCTTGTTATTTTTTCCATTCCATGTATTAAACACATCACAACTACAAAACAGTTCTTTCTTCTTGAGAACATTGTATCAAAACCTCCAATTCATTATTTGAAAGAATATTTGTATCTCAGATAAGGTTTTCCCTGTGATTTTTAGAGGACTGGACACAAGACAGAGTTCATTCTCCTGTGGTCCTTTATTCCAGACAGTGAGAATATATAAGTGCAAATAGACTTAGAGTCAAAAACAGGTATCTTTTTTCAGGGTTCATCTTCCTCAGGAGGCAGTCATCAAGGAAAGCCAGTAAGGATATTCTTCTTTCAGTATTCTGCAACAAAGTTAGAAATGTGGATACTGGTTTTTAAAATAGATAACAGAAATGGGGGTGAAATTTAAAATTATGTTATAATGGTAAATGTCTGAAAAAAATTACCAAAAAAATTTGGAATATTTTGTTCAAACTTGAACCTTAGAATTAGGCAGCAATTATTCCTCCCTTAGCAAAGGTTTGATATACTCTGTTACTTACTTGCAGGAATATGTTTGGACCATTCTGATAAGAATGATGTATTTAAATATCAGGGAAACTGTTTCAGTTTCAAACTGTAGTTCAGTCAATGGCACGTTGCTTTGACACGTTCCTCTGAAACTGTTGATGGAATAAAGAGGGCATAGCTGTGCTTACTTGAGACCATTCAATTAAAATGGGGTGGGGGAAGTGCAACAAAAATGGCAAAATCAAAGTCAATATCAAAAGTAATACTATCCAGGGCATTTTCCAGACTGCTGTGTGCTCTTTGGACACTGTTCACTTGGAGTTTAATACTACAAAATTAAATGGTCCATAATTATTTTACAGGGTGGCTCTAGCTCAGGAAGCACTTATTCTGGAAAACAGGTAAGAATAGTTTCATCACAGCATTTTCATCTTCTTTTCTTAGTAAACAAAGAAACCTGTGTGGTAGGTAGAGCAATTTTGGGATGATTTGGTCTTGAGAGAATGTTCTGTATAAGTTCCATTTGTATTAGAGCATATTTAAAGAAAATACTGTGGAAAATATGGACTCAGCCTGGGAAAGCAATTTCTGTGTCAATTATATTTTAAATCTAAATCTGTCTTGTTTCAGATTTCAGTTAGGGGCCTTGTTACATTTTTCTGTCCTCTGTTTTTTACATTCCTGTTCCCTGTGTAGATTTTATAGGCTGTGTTCAGTTAATCTTTCACTTTCTTTTTTTTTTTAAATAAGCTAGATTCTTGAGTGTTTCACTGGCTGGTTACCTGGTTTCGCACTTCTTTTTTTGTTTTGTTTTGTTTTCAGTACTCATCAATTTTTTAACATCCTCTTTCAAATATAGAGATGGAAAGCTCTGTATCAAATATAATAATGGAATGAGAGAAAAATAGACTTTTGCCTTTCCATCAATTTTAGCTGGAATTATCAGATGTAACATGAGGCAGAGGATGTAACTAAAACTATTTGCTTTATCAATGCAAAGCAGTTTTCCTCTTGAATAAATTAAACCCATGCTGTGGGTCAACGTATTCAAAACTTGTTGATCACAGGCAAAAACTGTGTTCAAAGCCATTGGGTGGGAACACTTGTAGATTTATTTGTTTTCTTGTTTGTTTTCAGCAGTCACCTTCCTCTGGAGGCAGTCAAGTGGTAAGCACTTCTCTTTGTAGTTTCTACTGGTTTCTTCATACCTATCATAGAAAACTGAAAGTGTTGTTTATACTGTGAGATATTTGAATAACCCTTTGAGAAGACATGTGCAACATAATAAATGGGAACAGTATCGACAAAAATGAAGAGAAGAGGGACCACACAGGTGTTTTCCACGTTTGTCCCTGCCTATCACTTGAAAACCGAACACCTGCTGATTTACAGGCACTATGGGTGTGACACATGGTCTTTTTAACATCAGAAATGTCTACATAATAAAAAGGGCTAATAGGAAAAGATTCCTCTGAAACTTTCTATGCTTTTATAATAGTGATAAACAGAATTATTTTGAAATGGGGTTATCAAATGTCTTGCTTTTTTTTTATAGAGCTCTGCTGGGAAACACTCCACTCCCCTTCTCCTGATGTTATTCAGTGTTTTGAGTGCCTTTGCTCTCTCTGCTGCTACATCCAAATGGTCTATATGAACTTCTGAAGAGCTGCTTGACAACCTAAACACGAATTATATTTCACATTATTAATTACTTAATATAAGAAAAAAAATACCCTTAAGTCAAATTGTCAGATGCTACTTGGCTGTTATGTTGCATGTCTAGCTGATATGTCATGCCTCTCATTAGTTTACCTCTGGTTTTAGTCATTAGTAGATATCATTAGTTTTGTCAGTGTTTTAGGCATCATTTTAAGAGAGCATATTGTACCCTACCTATATGATTTATTTTTATTTCCGATAGGGAATGCAGCGAACACCTGCCTGAAATGATTGGTGTAACAAATTAGAAAGTATTTGGTTATTCACCAAAGTGGACGAGGTCAAATAAATCGTTGTGTATGTGAGCTGAGCACTATGCCTGGTTCTGATCACATAAAATAAGGTGAACGTAAACATCTGATAAGCAGTTCTCCATGGGACAGAATGAAAGATGCTAAACTAGGCTCAGAGTATTGGTTTTAGTCTATTGTAATCAGATGTAGTTCAATATGGAGAATTGCAAAGCAAAAGAAAAGTACTCCACGGGACTGAAATTTTGGGGGGTTAACTAAAGTTTATTCATTAAAAAAGCGTTACAGCTCAGAGCAAAGAAATGCCGAACTCTGTTCAAACCAATGGCAGATACCTAGAGTTCTGTAGACAGGAATAGGAGGCAAATATAACCCAGATTAGGCTGATAGTCTAAAGCTGCTGAAAACCAATGCCTTTTCCCTTGTGAAGGAATGGAAAATTATTAAATTAATAACCTTGACAAAATCTTGGCTCCTTTTTTTGAAGTATTTAGTATAACCTGTGATACCTGAAATATCTGACATTTTAATTTCAAGAATGATGCTGACATCTGCAAGCAGGTACAGTCAATGCAGTCACTGAAAGACCATGTCCCATTTTTGAGTTCAGGAGCAGTTCCACACCTTGCAGCAAACTCTTTGGGACCTGCCAGAGCCTTCAGTTTGGTGTCAACAAAGTGCATTCTCCTAAAGCATACTTCTAATGAGTGTCTTATTGAACACGTATCTACTATTAAAACTACCTTTATTAGTAGTGTGCTTGTCTCCCACGGTTTACTGCTGTAATGGGTGGGACGGGTTTCCATTCCAGTTCAGCGGGGCCAAGATTTCGCCAAGTTTTGGTGTGCTACGCTGTCCTTTGCCAACCATCGGGACATAACCCCTTAAGCATAAAGTTTTGCCTAAATATGATCCTCAACATTTCGTGGCCCATTCGTTCCTTTGCACAGCGCAGTGCCCTTCTCCGTGTCAGGCCCGCACCAGCACCCGAGCCAGCCCTGCCCCTCTCACAAACCCGGCTGGGGTGTCACCCCAGGCGCTCCTGTCACAAGTGCCCCTTTGTGCTGCCAGCAGGACGGGGCCCGCGGGGCGCTCGCTGGGAGGTGGCCGGGGCTCCATCCCAGGGCTCAGCCCCCCAGCCCCGCGCTGCCCCCGACGCGGGCCCAGCCATGCCCTGCCCGGGGCTCGGCCCGGCTCGGCCCGGGCGGGGCTCGCTGCCGCCGCGGCCCTGGGAACGGAGCGGGCGGGGCTCGGCTGCAGCCGGAGCCTTTGCGGGACGGGACCGGCGCCCGGAAGCCCCGGAGCTGAGGGAGCCGGGCCGGGCCGGGCCGGCGGCGAGGGGCGAGCGGGGCCCGGCGGGCGCAGGTGGGAGCAGAGCCCGGCCGGGGCCGCCCCGCGGGGAGCGGGGCCGTGCGGGAGGCAGCGAGCCGAGGGAGGCCTGTGCTGCGGGAGGGGGAGGCGTTCGGGGCCGGTGGATGGGGCGGGAAGCGGGTCTGTGGGAGCAGGCTGGGAGGGGAAGGGTGGGATCGGAGAGACGCTGAGAGAAATGTGTGGGCACGGAGCGGTTCGGGGCAGAGGGAGGGAGGGAGGGTGAAGGTGAAGTCGCTGCGGGGGGCGGCGGTGTGTGAAGTTGGGAAAGGCGCGGAGCTGCCGAGCCTGGGGCTCCCGGCGCTGCTGGGGCTCTGCCCAGAAGATGCTCAGTGATGCAGAGCGGCGTGTAAAGTTATCAGAAATGCACGCTTTACAAGTATTTGCGTGGTATCACGATTTCATACCAGGTTTTTGAAATGAGAAACGCTCTAGCAGTACAGCGCTTGTGGATTAAGTCAGAAACCCAGAGGATGCAGAGATAATGAATGTAATAATGCATATTATGGAATAAACTGAAAGGTAAAAGATAAATGCCAGAAGGTACGGCAAGTTGTTTCATTTTATTGAATCCTGTAAACTGTGTTTTAAATCAGACCGAGGAGGACTTAGATTCCAAAGAAAGCTTTTAAAGGAATGATTGGGTGGAGAAGACTGACACAGCTTTCAGCAATGGAGGGCTGTGTTATGTGGAACATAAATAACATACACAACAAAGTTTCCTAAAACTGAGTGAGAACCACAGTGGGAAGTTTATTTGTCAGGCGGCCTCTACACAGATGGGTTGGGATCTAAGACAACGTTTACTTTTCAACAAAAGTGCAGAATGACAAAATGGGTCTTAGAATGAACATTAGGTGATGAACTGGGGGGTTACCTTTCTCCATGGGCCCTACACTTGGCTCACCTGAACTCTGTATGAGCTCTGAGGCTGCAGGTGAGTGTAGGGGAAGTGACAGTTGTGGAGGAAGTGATTTATAATAACCTCTTCCTTTAGAAACTGAAGCTTAATATTCCCTTGAACATTGTTAGGCACTGTGAGAACTCGTGATTTAAAATCACATGTGGGATAAGGATCCATTGTTTTGGGGATGTCTGATGTTCTCATTTGTAGAAGTGGTATGTGTGGCAAAAATACTGTTTTTGGGAAAGGCTGGTTGTAGTAAGTAGAAATTTGCTTTCTTTAGAGTGATGTATTGTTAGGAGTGACTCTGCCTGCCTACACAGCCTAATTCCTTGTGCAAGTTACACTGTTTGCAATAACAGGAGAAAGGCAGGGATCATCTCACCGAAGTACCTATGGAATTCAAGTCACCTCTGTCTGCTTAAAACAGTTCCAGATTTGTCAGTGTTAAGTGAGGACAACACATCCTTGATCTTTGGGACAGGCTTGCTAGACACAGTGATTCCTCCTGTATTATTCTTGAATTGCCTGCGACCTGGGCTCATTCTTCTCGAGTTGCTTCAGTTCACACCAAATGCCTGCTGCTTGCGCAGGCTGCGGGCCTTGGCTGGAACTCAGAAGGCTACACAGCTGGATCACATCAGTGGAGGGTGTCTCTAGAGGGGAGAAGAGGTTCTTAAGATCTGTACTTCTTAGGATCTAGCATGAAAATGTCAGATGGTTCGGAGTTCAGGATTTTTCCACTGGGGTTTTGAACCTTGTCTTATATTTATACCCCTTATACACTGTTCAGCTGTCTAATTTTATTTGCAATTGCTAGCTTTCTGCAGTGTCTACAGATTTATTTTCACTGGAGTATCTACTTTGTGTTACTCTGCTCCAAGTAGGTCACCTTGGCTGAGGGTACCTGTGTTGCCTTGAGCACCCAGACTTGATTTGTGATTCATAAATGCCACAAGCGTAAGCTGTGGCTGAACCCAGCTGGATTCAATGTTCAGTCTCCCAGCACCTTATGTCAAGCTCTTTCATTGGCTTAATACATCTGCAGGAGTTGCATTCAAGCAGTCCTTCAGTTCATGGCATTGCCCTCCTGCTGGAGGAGGGATGGGCATTTGAACTAAAACTGAGAACTGAACGTGTTCTTGCTCACAGCCTGGATGTGACTGTGGGATCTGTCTATACCTTGATCTATACAATGAACACAGTGTGTGTACTGTGTGAATCAGTGAGAGGCACTTCAGGCAGGTTGTATCAAATTTCTGTGCTGGCAGGCAGAGTTTGGCTTAATGACTGCTATGTCAATATAAAACTGTTGCACTACTGTGCAGAGTTGAAGGCTTCATCTTACAAGAAATGCTGGTGTTAACATTTAGCTCAGTGAGGGCCTAAATGTCCTGAACGCTGAATATTTATACTCAATATGTCATTTGTATAATGTTCATCAAACCAAATTCTCATCAAGAAAAAATATCTGAACTTTGGCTTCTTAGGTTTGGTGTAAAGGATAAAGGGGGTGGGCTTAAAGAGCACTTAGCCACAAATCTCACATTTAAGAGTCACAATGCCCAACTCCTCCTGTCTGATACATAGATTAGAAAGGTGATTTTTTTTTTTCCCCGTGAAAGAAGGAAACAAACAAACAAACAGAAAACCTTTGTGAGATCATAAAAAATCTCAGTGAAGTTCCCTTTCTCTGGTTGTCTGTCAACCTGTAAGAAAACCTTACCCGATTCCCAAGCAATTTATAGCATTCTCTGAAATTGGACTTTAGTTAATAGATAATATGTAATTGCATTCCTTTTGTTAGACTTGGCAATGAGGGAATTTCCTGGTTGAGTGATAGGCCACTGAATCACTGATATAGCCTCCACTATCTTTGTAAAAAGCTGAGGTTTTGGAGCAAAGTTTAAAAGAAATTATTGGTTGATCTTTAACAGTTACCCTTTAATGTGTAACTGCTCTGTGCTTAAGTGCACTTGCCAGTTCTAAAAAGCATCTGCATGATTTTAAAATGACCAAGTGTTGTGGTTTAACCCCAGCTGGCAATTAAGCCCCACACAGCCACTGGCTCACTCCCCACAGTGGGATGGGGGAGAGAATCAAAAGGGTAAAAGCAAGAAAACTTGTGGGTTGAGACAAAGACAGCTTAGTAGGTAAAGCAAAATCCACATATGCAAGCAAAGCAAACCAAAGAATTCATTCACCACATCCCATGGGCAGGCAGGTGTTCAGCCACCTCCAGGAAAGCCGAGCTGCATCGTGTGTAACGATGCCTTGGGAAGACAAACACCGTCACTCTGAACATCCCCTCCTTCCTTCTTCTTCCCCCATCTTTATGTGCTGAGTAGGTTCCATATGGTGTGGGATATCCCGTGGGTCACTTGGGGTCAGCTGTCCTGGCTCTGTCCCCTCCCAACTCCCTGTGCATTCCCAGCCTCCTCCCTGGTGGGGTGGGAAGCAGGAAAGTGTAAGCACTGCTCAGCAATAGCGAGAACATCCTTGTGTTACCAACACTTTCCAGCACAAATTCCAAACACAGCCCCGTACCAGCCACTGTGAGGAAAATGAACTCTACACCAGCCAAAACCAGCACACTGAGATAGGACTGTGGTGAGACAGATGACGTTGCAGGAGCAAGGTCCGCCACTCATCTACTGTGTTGTGCTTGATATCCCGTGTCGTGAAAATTATTTGAATGTTGTTACGTTTTTAATTTGTTTTCACCAGTTAAAATTTTTTTTTATGTCAGTGGAAAAATCAGAAATACTGCCTGAAGGAAAACTTCATGTGAAAAAAGTCTTTGTTCCTCAGTTTCTGCTAGAAGAGTAAGGAAAAAAGTTTGGGATTTGCTTTTAGCAACACTTCTGAAGTGTACAAGCTGTAAGAGAAGCATAGCTGTTTTATTTTTTTCATAGTGTATTTAATACACTTTATAATGTCTTCAGCAAGAAGAATGGGTAACAAACTGGAAAACAAAAGAAAGAGCAAGGTAAGTTTTAAAATAATAAAGTGAGTTGCAGTGATTTAGTTGGGAAGTGCCATGTATTTGGGGATATTTGGGCTGATAATTATAGATAGCTTATGGGAGGGAACAAAGAAGAAACTTACTCTAGTATAAGGAAAATGGAAAACATAATAGTGACATTTTAAAGTGAGAAATACAGGGTCTAATATGGTTTATTAAGATTACACTGACATGAGAGATTATATCTTGTAGGGGTGAGGGGAGAAAGAAATGCACTGTTGATAGCAGAACAAATTTGGCAGTTAAAATATTTATATGTATATAAAATCTACTTCAGAACCCAGTTCAGCAGCACTTGACTAGTTTTGGAAAGGTCTGTGCAGCCTCAGTACCGTTTGGGACATTTATCATAGAATCAAAGAGTGGTTTGGGTTGGAAGGAACCTAAAAATCATCTGGTTCCAACTCCCCTGCCATGGGCAGGGACATCTTCCATTAGGGCAGGCTGCTCAGAGCCCCGTCCAGCAGAGTTGCTGCAGTTCTCTGGGCAGCCTGTTCAGGGACTGCCCCAGCCCATGGCCAGGACCTTGCACTTGACCTCGTTGAACTTCATGACGTTCCTTCCACCCATTTATTTTCCATCCATATATTTTTAGTATTGGATACTACTTTTGGTTAAAAGAAGGCTGGTTCCAGTAGACGGAATATTTATGGAATAGAACTTTCCTCTGAGGAATGTAGTTGTGTTGCAGAGAGTGACATGTTATTGTTAGTTAGAGTTACTTGTGTGTTATCCAGCACAGGAAACAGGGCAGTGCATGTGCAGAAGCGCAGAAGTCTTATAAAAATAGGTTCTTCAGGTTCTGTGAGTCAGCTCTTGTCCCACCTTGCAGTTGTGCTTTTCCTTTGTTGACAGCTTATGGTATTTGTACAGGTGTAGCATCAGCAGTGGGCTCACATTCCATTGGAGAAATATGAGAATGCAATCCTGTTCCTTTAATCTGCTATCCTGATTTCAAAGCAAACGCCCAGGAAGTGTGTCCATACCTGTTCCACTGGAATGAAATAGCCTACTTTGCTTTCCACTCTGGTTTTCCTTCCATAAGGCAGACTCAATCCATGTTTATTCTCTGGCACATCCCATATGTAGAATTTGGTGTACTGGCACACAAAACTTACGCTTTGCCTTTGATGGTTTTAAGAGGCTGGTTGTCTGCTTGTGTTTGGCTTTGTTTTTTAAATAATATACAAATACCTTTTGTTTGAGTTAAGCAATGTTAAATTGATTAATCATAAAATAGAATAAGAGCTAGGAATAATAACTCCTGTCACTTGGCTTTTTACTCTAAAAGACTGTCAACAGTGAAAACATTTCACAACTAGGCTGGAAGGAATTTAATTCACATAATGCCATCACTATGAAGACTGGAAACATAGTAGTAATTAGTATATTTTCCTTTTTTAACTTTAACTTTCCTTGTAACAGAGTTGTCAGGAGTAAAGAAACAGTTGCCAGTAGAGGTTATTTTCGTGTCAAATCTTTTGGTGAATTTAACCTACCTTTTTGTTATGCAACTTATTGGAATTCATTGTTAATTGATTTTTTTTTGTGTGTGTTACTCTGTCATCTACTTCTTGAGATAGTGTTGGGTGCTTAGGGCTTTTGGGATGCTGACTTTTTTCCCAAGTTTTCTTCAGTTCTCTCTTGAAGTTTCAGAAATTTGAGGAAAATTAAATTTAATGAATATAATAAAAGTGAGTCAGCTGCAGTGACTGTAAAAAAAGCTTTTTCATTAACTCATGCAGAATTAGTAAAATACAATGCAGAATATTGGATAGTTTGGGATACTGAAAGAACTTGCAGTGTAATTGATGCAGGAAAAATGCACCGTCAAATAAATGAAATTTGGGTTATTTGTGCATGAACTATCACCCTTTTTATTTATAAAATTATATATAAAATGTACAGCATCCCCACCTTAAAATTTCACTGAGCCTAAAACATGCTAATGAACTAGATAGTTGATGTTAGACAAAGTTGAGTCTTAACACTTCTGTGCTCACTTTATCTTAATGTGTTTGAATCAGCATGGTGTGAAATTTTGGGAGTGCCTGGATGTGTGGAGATGCTCCTGCTCTCTCGTTCTTGCAGATGGTGTTAGACCATGCTCCTGGAAGGATCTTGATAATATGCAGTATAACTTCAACCACCTTTGGAAAATGCCTCAAGATAGTCTCTAGTCTCCGAGTTTAACTGAAGAGAATCTCAAATAAGTCAGTTTCCTTCCAGAGTTCTCTTTTTTAGTATTTTTTAGATACCTCAAACTAAAATAATTCTATCAGATTTTGAGTCCTTCTACAAACTCAAGAATAGGATCAATTCATAGAGATAGACTAATCCTTAATTTTGCACAGGATTTTCCATTGGTAGATATGTAGCAGCTGAGAAACTCAGAAGTTTATACCATCTGTTCTTTAAAAGACAAAATCTTAAGAAAAGTCTTGTAATCTCTTTAGTAAAGCCTGATAATTATCAGCAGGTATTGTTGTTGAATGGAGGGGGGAAAATAAAAACATATATAGTGTCTTTGCTGTTCATTAAGTCATATTGATTATGTTCCTTTTGGTCTAATTTCATCTGCAAACATTAGAATTTACCAGTATTTTAGGAGGGAAAATGTAGGGATAATATAAAAATAAAATGTAAAATACTAAATTTTAGCCTGTGTTGGAGGTACTACAAAGGGAGATGAGAACCTGCAAGTCAAAAATCCATTCGTTTTGTCTGAATGATTGAATGAAATGGAAATACATGATTTTCCGCTTTAAAAAAATCTGCTTCCTTTGAAGGGATATTTTTCAGGCATTGCATAGGTATGGAACTTTGAGATGAAGGTATTACTTCCTGTATAGACTGTTTTGCTTTGTTTTCTTTTCTGAGTCTATAAAACCTTTCCAGGGCCCTTTTTGTTTATACTTCTAAGGAAAACAACTCTTCGTGGTATCCATCTGTATTTTATTCACCTGTGTGTTTGTGTTCTGAAGTCAAACTTTGTGTGGCCGTAAATCCCATCTTGGCTTCTTCCTGCATAATGACTCCTGTACAGCCCTGCCTTCCTGTGGCCATAGGGTGTGTCTCCATGGTACACTGAATAAATGACACACAGGCAGCTGACTTTTTTATTCACCTGGACTAATAGGAGCAAAGAGTAATGAGCCTTGTTCCTGAGGTAACAGATGTGTTAGGCTGCATTATAGTCAACGAGCTGCAGGTCCTTCACAGGCTGTAAGGTACAGTTCAAAAGACACTGAGTTAATGGGACCCCTTAACTTCCAGTATTTGACTTAGCAAACCTAAATCTGAGTTTTCAGACAGATGCACCCTGCAGAGTACTGAGTAGAGCATCCAATGCCCAGTAAGAAATCTATATTGTAACTCTGTACAGGAAACGCATTGGGAACTTTAATTTCATTATTGGCTTAAAACAATCAACGTGTGGGCTGTTATTAAGGCAATGGTTCATTTATTCTGTGCCTGCACAAGCTATTGCTGTGAGGGGAGCAGGAGCTCATGGCTACCAGCAAGCAATTACACCTCTGGCAGTAATCTGTTAGTCTAAAGCTGCTGTGAAACTGCAGTTGAAGGCAGCTCAGCTATTTGGAGCTCAATACTTGGCTCTTTCTCTGGATCCAGTTCCCTGTTTGCACAGAGTTCTATGAATTGATATGCAGCTCTTTTAAAGGGAGCAGGAAAGCTGATAAGATGCTGTGTGTGCTTAGTAGAGGGTGGTTATATCACTGGCATACGTTTCAGGACTCTCTAGTTCCTGCTCTGTGAACCAGCTTGAAAGTACAGTGGGAAACTTCACACCCTTGTTCTCCACAAGCCTGCCTCGCCGACCACTGACTTTTAACAAATATCCTTATTTCAACTGTCACACTGGACACTTGAAATCCTTTTTGTGTGAATGTTTGGAACCCTGAAATTGCTTTAGTGAGTTACGGTAAAGAAATGTTTCCTGCTACTGGCACCTTTTTGAGACACACTGTCCGGGGAAAGTTCCCTTTTTATCATGATTACTAAGGAAGACAAGGCAGTAGTTGAAGATAATATGGTGGTATGTATTCCTCACGGCTGATGGGCTTATCAAACTGTTGTGCTTGTTGTTATGTTTTCATGCTGATTGCTTTGGTACTTGCTCATCAAACAGCGTACTAGTGATTTACTTATTAAAATTACATTTTAAGCTGCTTCATAAATAGATGGTTGTATTTCAGTAAGAAATTATTGTGAACATTATTTTTAATATTGTGACCTGTTTTGAAAGTTAAGGAATTTTTGATATCTAATAAATTTGAATGTTTGTAAAACCCTTTGTCACCTCACAGGCTTGCAGAATGCAGAAATTTGGGTCCAAGTCAGGAAAATGTGTGTTCTCATTATCTGTATTTTGTTCAGAAGCATTTTGAAAACTGAAAACCAAAAAGTTTAAAAACTTATTTATCTGCAAGAGTGCTTTCATGAAAATCAGTGTTTTCATCTTAGCAATCTATTGCTCTTTGTGTTTCTTGTTTGTCAGGTCTCAATACTAAAAAAAAAGAGGTAAATGGAAAAGGTGAAAGCAATTGTTCAGGTTGGCTCCCATAAATGTTAATTTTCTCTGGTATCATAGCCAGGCCTTTTTGTGAAATTCAATTCTGTATTTTCTCTCAGTGGATTTTTTTTCTTTCCCTTGTTCTCTATCTTATCTATGTTGCTGGTATTTCCCTATAGAGTATGATCTCTGACCTTGCATGTCCTCTCTTCATGCCTTTATAGAAACTGTTCTTCTGTTTCTCCTTCTTGTTCTCAACTGTAGCAAATTTATTCTTCAAAGGTGTTGTTCATCAATCAACAAATCATCTCTGTTTTGTTGTTATTCTGCAGTTAAAACCCTCATGTAAAGGATTATTCCACCAGAACCAGTGGAAAACATCAGCAAATCTTAAATATTGTCTGCAGCTTTCTTCTTGATACTTTATATTTCTGTCTGATTTATATTGTTCAGTGCAATTGCATCTTTAGTATTTGTTTTTTAAGGAGTTAAAGGAGATTATTGTTCATACAAAAGTATCTCCTATTAAGATTCCTTAAAGGAACCTTGTGTATTTCCTCCTCAGTTTCTGCATCCTGACATCTTTTTTTTCCTTCTTTGCCAGTATGCTTTTACAGCCACATAATTCTTGAAATAAACAATTTTATCGTGTAGGATACAAGTATGTACTTCATATCTTTGTGGCTGTTGGCAGTTCTCACCTGTCTGCAGGTTACTGCAGTGTCTCCTGAGTGTCCATTGACATGTAGGTAATAATTTGATTTGGAATACATGACCGGAGAAAATCCATAAATGCTTAGAGACAAGATAAAGGCACGTCAGAAATATTTGAAAAGTAGAGCTCTCCAAATGTCTGTAACTATAGCAATGAAATGCATCTTGAGCTAGAGAAATGCAGTCAGCAAGAAACAGCTTCAGATCCAGCTACAAATATTTAGAGGTATGTTCTTCATCAGTGTGTACAAAGTTAGATAGTTAATGAGCCAGAAATTGTGTGCCTGTAGGTGTGGGACATGCACAGGGACAGCTCTGGCATGTGCATCCAATAAATGCCGTCTCTAGGCTTCTAAAACTGAGAACTACATTCATTGTCTTGACATGTTACTGGTTTTTGTTTTGCTTGAGAACGTATTTGTTAACTTCTAATTACTGACTTGATTTTACTTTGGCATTATAAAAAACTGCTCTGTTTTTGAGTGAGTGGGCAGCGAGGGCAGTAGTAGTTATCTTTTTATAGAAAGCATTTGTTTTTGTGCATATGGAAATTCTTAATATGAAGAAAATGATATGATATTCTGAGCAGCACTGAGCTTTTTTTAAATTTCCTTGTAATATATTGTGCTTGTAAAATGAACATTACTGTCTCTAATATTAGACTCCTGCACTAAGTTAATGCTTTAATGGGTGACAAATTGCAAGGAAAACTGAATTCCAACTTGATGGAAGTTCATGATAGACATGAAGATGATGCAGCTTTACTAAGAGAAGCTTTGTGGTGGTCAGTGCAGTATGAGAAAGGAGGTGCAGTCACCTGGTCATCTATATTCAACTGATGTTTTTCTGAGCAGAATAATCAGCAGGGCAGGTTTGGTGCTGTCTGCCCTGCAGCTCCTCCATCACGTCTTCCTATCCAGCCCTGCTTTCCCACAACTCTCCCTTTCGCTCCTCCTCAGCCGTACCTCCCATTTCCATGTAAAGCAGCCCAGCCCTCACCCCAGGTTCTGCTGGCCCGGTGCCCTCTGGCCCGGCAGGTTTTGGAGCGGGGAAGAGAGAAGCTCCCTTCACTCTGGGAACAGCTCATGGCATCAGGGCATTCTGCTGTACCACACTGTGGACCTTTTGCACCTTGAAAATACCTCCTGAGCCTTCACCTACTCAAAGAAATCTGCACTTTGGATCCGTGAAACTTGGGAGTGAAACCAGTTAGTGGAAAGCTAATTATCAGCTAATACCTCTTATTTTACTTTATTATTTTTAGTACAGATAAAAAAAATTTCATTTCTGTTAATTAACACTTCTCCTAATATTCTGATATATCTCCCCATTTGTATTCATGTATTTGGAAAACATTGTTAAAGTGATAATCTTCTTTTGCTTTTTAAATATCAGATTTGTGTTTTCCTTTGACTGAGCTTCCTGGACAACTTTTTAAAATATGCTTATTCCCGATAGCTACAATATTATCTTGGGTTTGTTTTTTTATTCTGTTTCAGAAAGAAAAAACTCAAGAAATGTCTGCCAATTTGAAGTACCTTTCCTTGGGTATCCTGGTTTTTCAGACCACAAGTTTGGTCTTGACCATGCGTTATTCCCGGACACTGAAAGAAGAAGGACCCCGATACTTATCCTCTACTGCAGTAGTTATTGCTGAACTTCTGAAGATTTTGGCCTGTGTTCTGTTGGTCTACAAAGACAGCAGTATGTGTCAAATTTTGCACCAAATAATTGTCCTAATCAGTATGCTGTATTGTAGTGGCAACTGCAAAGCAGCCATGTGAGTACAGGCATACAACAAAGCATTTCCCTTCTCCTTGTGTAAGAAATAGTCTTGGAAAGATATTAATCATACTGTGTATTTACTGGAGAAAGTTCTTTTTAAAGGATGTGGGCACTGAGGAGTGCAAGAATAAATTTTCTGCCAACAACTCAAAGTTTGTGTTTGCTCAGACTTTTTAAGAAATCCAGATGTAGAAGTAGGAAAAAATGAAAAGCTTTAAGTGTGTCCAAAGCATGAATGATAATTTAGAAGCCCATAATAAACAGCAGATGAAGGAGGGAGGAAGCAATGTCATTGTTTTCAGGAAGATTCACAGTTTTAAGCTCAAAAAAAGTGTATTCCGATTTATTCTGTTTCTTATTTTGTACATTTTAAGCTGAATTTATCTGGCTCCTGGGTACATATATTTGGTTTTCAACAGCTTAAAAATATTGTTGTATATGTATAAATATTGATGACACTCTAGGATTGTAAATATGTACTTTTTAGGTGATATCCTTTGATGTATTATCTTCAAATATTGATATGGTTTCAATAAGTTTTATTCAAAGTCTTTTGAATAGTTGTTTTCGTTCTGATATTCCAGGCTATGGGAAGACACTTGCAGCCATTTTTCCTTACAAATACAAGACTTGTGAACATCAAACAAACATAGATAGTATTTTGAGGTCTTGATATAGTGATGGCTGTAAAAAGGGGCAACCATTTTAAGAACAGAGCATTGCTATTTCACTTTTTAACCCCTCTCCTTTTAATGAATGTCTATTTCTTTTATTGTCTCTTTGGGTAGAGTGCAATTTACGGACTCTGAACAGAGTGCTGCACGATGAAATCCTTAATAAACCCATGGAAACTCTTAAACTTGCTATTCCTTCGGGAATTTACACTCTTCAGAACAACTTGCTGTACGTAGCATTGTCAAACCTAGATGCAGCCACATACCAGGTATTGTATATTTGGAATTCTCTGTAAATTTAAAAAAACACAATCCCATGAATTATGCAGTAGTAACAGTTTTTGGTTCTTCTAGGTTACGTACCAACTGAAAATTCTCACCACAGCATTGTTTTCTGTGTCCATGTTGAGCAAGAAATTGGGTGTATACCAGTGGCTGTCATTAGTAATATTGATGACAGGAGTGGCATTTGTACAGGTAAATGTTAGCAAGTGGCTTGTGCTCTTTTAATGTGTTTATTCAAGGAACATGGATTTCTATACTGATTATACAGCTTTCTGATTCCACCAGCTGCACACGAGCATCAGAGTGTAGTCAGGAACTGCGAATCACACCTGGCCAGGTCTGGAGGACACCAGAAATGGGTCAAAGGCAGAAGATAACACCTCTTTTGCAACCCAGTTCTCTACTGTAGAATGTGACAGGGCCTCTGGAGCAACCTGCAAGTAATAATGATAGCAGTGTTTGTTAGCATGTGTCTTCAGTCCTTAGGAATTCACAGATCTTCTCTGCCAGGCCAGGCCCACTTTGTCATAGGGCCGGCAAATTTACTTGAACTATTTCAAAAGGCAAAACTGGCCTCAGGTCTAAATAGTACAGGCACCAGAGTTTGTAGTTTTCAGAGGGCAGTATCATGTCATGAGAGACTATTCTAAGAATTTTTAGCAGATTTCAGCATATCCTAGAAATTTTTATTTTTAAACTTGAGGATTTGAAAGAAGATACGATGATGAAATTTAGTAATTAAAAATGAGAGCAAAGTATTCTGACAGTATTTAACAGACTCCTCAGTATGATTTTGCCTGTGGCACTGCATTTTATTCAGTTGGCATTAGACACATTGCAGGATTTAACTAGTCTGCATAGTCACTGAAGAGGGGCACATGCAAAAGACAGTTTACCCCATCCTAAAGACAGCTGGTGTAAGTAGTTTTCTACCTGTACCCCTATTTGTAACCAACTGTTGGGTGGCACAAGTTGGTGGCTGTGAATGACCATGATAAGTCACACGGGGATTCAGAAACAGTTCCGGCTTATAAGACATAAATCCTGCACCTGTTTAAATTCACCTGTTTAAATTCAGGCACAATTTTACTCCTTACATGTACATAGAAAGAAAAATTTTAGCTTTGCAGTCCTCTAAAAGTATTTATGGTGCAAAATGCCAAACTTGACAAGCATGTGATTGTCTGTGTTGAGTAACTGTTACTGTTGCTAGAAAACAAATGTGCACTTTATAGATGCTCATGACTGGATTTAACGAGTGACTTTTGTGTAACTGTTTTTGCATCCAGTGGCCTTCAGACTCTCAAGCAACACCTGCTAAGGAGCATTCAGCGGGGTCGCAGTTTGTGGGGCTGATGGCAGTGCTCATAGCCTGCTTTTCTAGTGGATTTGCTGGGGTTTATTTTGAGAAAATTTTAAAGGAAACTAAGCAATCTGTGTGGATCAGAAACATTCAGCTTGGTAAGTTTATTTTTAATTATCTGTTAAAGATACTACATTCTGAAGAATTAAGATAAATGTGCAAAATTTATGTATATATAAAAAGTACCACATTTTAGTGTGCTGCATAAAGACTATTTTAAAACCAAAAGTATAAACTCTGCTAGATAGAATTCTAGCACTTACTTTCTAATCTCAACCTAGTTCTTAATTTTTTAATAGAGTATCTGAAAGTTTATACAGAATCTGTCAAGTGAATTTGTGTTTTAAAATTTTATAAAGGATATTATTATATGCAGGATTCTGGGTATCCTCTGTGTTTAAAAAGATTGTCTTCACTAATTCAGAAGATCTGATAAACACAGATAGTAATCATTTTTCCAAACAAAGCAAAACTGCTTTGTTTGTGAATAAAGATGAGGTAGTGAATTATAATTATTTCAGTACAAAGGTCAGTTTGTTTTAGTTGTCTGTATAATCACTGGAGAGAGGCATTTGCAAAAGACAGTTCATCTTAACTATTTTAATGCCCTTACCTATTATGCACCTGTTAGTAAGAAAATACCTCCTATTTCCAAAGTAGTTCTGGGTCTTCTAGACCTTAGATGTTAATGACAACAGAAATGATCTGTGTTCCTGAATGAGTTTTCCCTCACCTCAGAGCAATCTTGTCCAGTTTATGGGGTTTGAAATGTGAAGTTCAGTAGAATATGTTTACTATTGAAATTGTTCTCCGTTCAAAAATTAAATTTTTCCCTTTTGATAGAAGAACACTGGACTCACCAATTTACAAACTTATTAGTCTAATCTCAATTTCTTCTTTTGACATTAAGTATCTACTAGAAAATATTCACCATGTTTGAGACTGGTTCAGGAGAATCCCACTGTGAAGATCCTGGTCTGAACTGGCAAACTGCTAATTGCTGCTCCTGCTCTGTCAGAGACCCTCTCCTCCACTAAATGTTCTCCCTGTTTTTCTCTTCAGGTTATAGTGTGACTTCAGCCTTCAGTCATGACTTGTTTCAGGGAAACTGAAATTGTGTTGAAGTGAATTTTGCTATATGCCATAAACAAAAATCACACTGTTCCAGTAGGGAGCAATGGAAAATAAGTATATAAGGATATCCTAATGGAAACAGTCCAACCTTGTTATTAGTATGGAGAACAGCTTTTGAAAGAGAATAGCAAAGCGATTGCATTTGGATGTGATGGTATTGCAAGTGGCAGTCCAGTTTGAAAAGCAGAAAAGCCCCTGAGGGTAGGGAGCCTGTTTGCACATTTTTCACGTGAAGCTTTTAAATCAATTTTGTACTTTCAGGATTTTTTGGTAGCATATTTGGACTGATGGGCGTATACATTTATGATGGAGAACAATTGTCAAAGAATGGATTTTTTCAAGGATACAATAAACTCACTTGGGTGGTTGTTGTTCTACAGGTGAGATATCCTTGTATCCCATGTTTCTGTGAAGACACTTAGGGATTTACTCTTCTGTAAATGACTGGGGAAACTAATGGGCATCATTGAAGCTACTGGGAATTCTATAGTCAAAAATCTGATCTATCACCATTAGAATAAACCTCTAAATGAAAACCTGGAAAATATATAGCAAGTATATGATTAAATATTCTGCAACTTAAAAGCATGTAAGCATTACTTATTTTGCAATGTTTAAAATATATATATATATATGCCCTTCCTCCTGTGGCTAAAAATGTATAGTATAAGCATTTCCACTCATTAATGGTGGCGATATCAACAATTTCTTTAATGGGGAAAGAACTACTCCTCCAATATTTATTTTCAGCAATGCATATCCATTATATTAAATAAACTTATTGCTCCTAAACATAGACAGAAGCTGTCCCTAAAATAAGTGCATGGTGTTAAAATAGATGCTATCTGTCAAATTATCAGTTTGTGAATCCAAACCTCACTATTTTTTCAGGCACTTGGAGGGCTGGTAATTGCTGCTGTTATAAAATATGCAGACAACATTTTAAAAGGATTTGCAACTTCTCTTTCTATTATACTGTCAACACTGATCTCCTATTTCTGGCTGCAAGATTTTGTCCCTACAAGGTAAGAATTATTTTCCATGTACGCTGGGAAAAAAAAAACAACAGCCCAGGCCACACTTTCTGAATGTTTAGGTACCACTTGCACATCACAGTTTGGTTTCGTACCATGACCAGTAGTTAGTTTGTTCAGCCCGGTTGTCCTGATGCCGTTTCCAGCGGGGTCAGGAGCCCCTGGCTGGCGGATCCCGGCGCTGTGGGCGCTCCGTGCGGGCCGTTCCCGGTCGGTCCCTTCCCTTTCCCGCATCCCGCGGATCCCGCCGGGCGGGCACTGCACCGGGGCGCCCCCTGGCGGCGGCCATTGGCACAGGGGGGTCACCGCTCCGCGTGTCCCCGACGGGACAGGGACAGGGACAGGGACAGCTCCTCCCGCACTGCCTGGCATCCATCTCATCACAGTCTCTGACAGAACTAACCGCAGTCACGCATCCGTGGAAGTCACACTGCAGCACTGAGTTGCCCGAGGGCACCCGGAACCCCGAAGGCAGAGCCTGCTGTAAATGCCACACTGTATTTAGTAGGGAAAACAGCCAAGAAAGAAGGTGCTTGCTGTGTGCTTCCAGGGTCGGGACACTATGTCCTGACGTTCTGTGGGTGAGATTGTTGTGGTTCTGTGCACCTCAGGTTTTGTACATGGGTGGGTTCAGAGTAGTGCTTGTCTTGGCAGTGCATGTTAACATATGGAGAGTAGAAGTTATAATCGCTCTTCCAGATATATTGGGATTTTGATTATAATTGACCAGCACTCCTCTCATATGTTACACATACTCATAGCATAAAAATATTTTAAATAATATTTACAATTGTTGTATCTGGCACAAAGAAACATGCTTTTATTAAAACTGTGTAGGTGCAATACTGTGGTTCCTTCTAACCTTACCCATTCTGTGATCCTGCAATATTACCAGGGCTTTACTTAAGCATTCCAAAAAGGAAGTAGAGCAACTATTTAGGCTTAAAAAGTGGAAGATGTTAAACTTAGATGATAAGCAGCTTGTATTTGTCCCATTAAAATGACTGTACAGAGTGGTTTAAGAATTTCTGTGTGCTCAAATGGAAACTTAATAAGTAACTTAACAGCTTCAGCAAACATGTTGAAAGGGAAACGGTAGTAAATAATTAGATTAAATAGAGCCACGTAGCAGCATGGAGAACTTGAAACCATCCCATTTCATAAAACTTGGTCAACTTGAGTTAATCAAACTTAATCTTTAGTACGTTTCTTATGCTAACTGAATATATTTGATCTGAAACTGTATACTTGTTTCTATCATGTCAACCAACACTTTGATTGGAGTAATAGATGTAAAGGACTTAAATGCTTGAATGTGTTGCAATAGGCCATGCCCAGGAATAGGGGACCTGTGTTCTCTGAAGGATTGTCATGTCATGTGCCACAGCTTTCTTATCATTTGGTTCAGAAGATCAAATTGTCAACATTGTCATGTCTTTATGAGAAGGTTCTTTTCTAAAATTTGTACTGATCATCTATGGGCTTTGGATATTTTGTTTCAGACTTGTAACTATCAAAACAACTTGAAAGGCCCAAGTGACACAGTACAAAAGATGCCTTTATTATCTTTTCCTGACATAAATCTTTATGTATCTGCCAAAAATTAGATTATACTGACTTGCAAACTAGTTCCTGGGCTACAGTAATTTGTTTCGACATAAACTTTAGATTTTAAAGCAAACACAGCTCCAGCTGCATGAAGTATGTAAGATGTTAAAAGGGACTGGGTAACCACAGCAGTAGCACTTCAGCTCCTGCTTGCATTTTGCAAACAGCTTTAGGTAAAAGATTTAAAAAACAAAACAAAACAAAAATATTGCTTTTGACAATTGTTTCATGAAAGTATAATTTGAATTTTCAGAATATGTCAGCATAATGATTCATTAATTTGTAGTTATAAGTTTCTTATTTCAGCAACTTCCTGCATCCTTCCAAAATATGCAAATTATTTTGTTCTTTATAAAATTGGACAAAAATAATTTCTTTCCATTTTCCTCATGAAAAAATGTCCTTTCTTTTGTTTGTATTACATAAATAGATCTGCATCAACTAAAACAAACTTTTTTTTTCCTATCCCAATTCTATTCAGTGTCTTTTTCTTCGGAGCCATCCTTGTAATAGCAGCTACTTTCCTGTACGGTTATGATCCCAAACCTGCAGGAAATCCCATTAAGGCATAGCAGACTTCCTCATCAGCCTGCTTCTCAAGATCATGCACTGGGGGCCTTGCTAGCAATGGCATGTGGGAAGTGTCATTGTGCACTGCAAGGGAAGGATTACTGCCCTGAAGAAATGCTGATGATAGTTCTGAAAACCAGAGGCTTACAGGTGGATGATGACACTGATCTGTAACCCATGGGGGGGGAATGTCGGGGGAATACCCAGTGCAACTTGCTAATAAAAACTTGAACCAAAAGTTTCCAAGAAACTACAATTAGGAATGTTTACAGCTTTGACAGAGATTGCATCAAAAGAATTTACTGTATTGACTGCTGCAGAAAAATGTCCTATGCACTCTTTGAAAGAGCACATGACAACGTTGTCAGATTGTATGTTTTTGCGATTTGATTATATTTAATCTTAGTAAATGTTTTTAACTGTTTGTCTATTTACGTGTAATGAGCTGAACATCATAGATCTAAAGTGATGGTTCTAATTAGGTATTCCTTATTAAAACTGTGAAAATTGAAGTATGATTGAAAGACACTTTCACAATATCAAATATTTTTATATTTTTAGAAAGCTGACTTAATAACAGAAATCTGTTATTAAATGATAATATTATAATTCTGTTGCTTATATAGAAGTATTGTAAGAATGTTAACATTCTCACCGAGGTACGCAAAGGGAGAAATTCAGAGTGAAAGCTAGAAATCCATGTTGATACTCCAGCCTCCATCAGCCTGTGGTGTTCCAACAGATGGAATAACTCTGGGAACACCGGCTGGAGGTTACGGCACTAACCTGGTGGTAAGATTAGGGTTATGATGGGTGCTTGCTCAGATGTAATGTTCATTCTTGTTATTTTTATTGATTAAAAATCAACTTTTTGGTAGAACCTTAAAAGTAGTTTTTATGCTTTAAGTAGTCTCTGAAGATTTTCTTTAAACCACAATTTAAAAAAAAAAAAAAACATAATAAATGTTTTAAAGGCATTATAGTTGTCTGTAACAGCTCCATCTGGAGCTACTAAGGTATGGTATCTGTATACTGTACTGTACTTTATTACAGAGGAGTTTTTTAAACAAGTGGTGTTTACTCATGAACTCTCCAGTGCATTTCTATGTAATGGCTTACTTAGTTTTGGTGAGGTTTTTTTAATTATTATTTTATTCTGAGAGTCCTTGAGCCAACAGACCAAAATGGTTTCTCTGGAGCTATTCAGTCTAGTAGTGGAATTACTTTAATAGGAAACATAATTAAAAAGTAATCAAATGTGCAATAGCTAAATGTAAAAGCATGCTGTTGGTCTGTTTTAAACAAAAAAAAACTTCACAAAGAGACCTTGATGCAGTTAGATCAATTAGACTGTTATTAATACTTCACTTGAAGTATTTGCATATAGTCAGAAACACCAAAAAAAATCTGGAACTAATAAACGAATAAGCTGTCTTAAAAATCTCTGTTTTTCAGGAGACTGTTCACAATGGATATTAATGTGTTGTGGCTCTTACCCACATTACACCTGTGGTGGTATGCATTTATACAAAAACTTATCAGGAGTCCCTTACCAGTAAAATGGCAAATGGTAAAAAACATCTTGCTTCCCTTGTTTCCCCCCGCCTCGTGCTCTCTCTTCTGTCTTGTGCTAAAGAAAACGTGTTAAAGAGAAAGGTGTTTTAAAATGTTTACTAAAGTACCTCATCCAATTCACAAGGAGATTCTGGAGGAGTGCTCTGAGATTTCTTAATGAAGTGTTGTAAATGGGAAAGGAAGAATTCTACTTATGTCAGTCAAGTAAAAACAGTGTTTTTCTTCTGTTGGGTGTTTTTGTTCTGTTAGGTGTGTTATCAAGGTCTTGTTTGTTTATCATATCAAGGCAAGACATAAAAGAACTGTCTGAGTTACGCCAAGGGCTTGCTGAGCTTGGTGAACTGCGAATCTGTCCCAGCGTGTTGTCATTGCAGGAGCTTTGCCACTTGGCAGTCAAACTGATCTTGTAGTACCCTAAATTGGCATCCTGTGTTAGTATTAAATCTCCTACCTCTAGCATTCAGTGGGGCAAAATCTTTGAAAAATTCCATGTGGTGATTCCTGCACTGCAGTGCACAGGAGGGGAGATGTGTGCGTGGAACAGCCACTCACAGTGTGCTTGGGGCCAGGAGGGAAGTGTTTGTAGTCATATCTGAGCTGGAGTTTGGCCTACACAGGGATACTTTTAATCATGAATTGCAGTACTGAAAGGGTTGGGGTGATACAGTTGGTTACTTCCTCCAGGAATGTCTCCAAAAAAAACAGAGGTAGCAGCTTGAACAGGAAGGGACCAAACAGGCCAAATAATCACCATGTTGCTGGAGCTCTGTTATGTGTAACCCAGTTTTAATATTTCAGGTGCACCTGTCAATATTTATCAGTGAGGATCCATTTATAGGAAAGAACGGGAAAGTGTGCTCTTTGCTTTGGAATAGGACGTCGTGCAGCTTTGGAAAACAAAGTCTCTGCTGTACTAAGGAACAGTAAATCCTGTCTGTAGGTCAGTGACTCTTCTGTGCCTGCAGCTGACAGTCCTATGAAGTAGAAGGACAGATCTTTCCGTACACTTATTGCTGTAAAGGAAAAATGAATTTGCATTTTTAACTGTGTTTCCTTGGTCTTTGACAGGGTGAGAACAAAAAAGATTTGAGGAGGGTTTACTGAACCTTTGCAAACTGGGAGCATATGTGCATTTTCTCACTGAGATACTTTTGTATTTGTATTTTAATTTTTTCTTAAGCAGTTTTAAGTCTATAACTCATTAACTAACCAAAGAGGCATAAGTAGGACAGAGCACTGGGAAGTAGTGGATGGTGTGCTTTGAGTTTGCCCTAAGACAACCTGTAGGAGTCTAACTTTCCAAAAATAAACTTGTCTTTCTGAACTACTTTTCTGACATTTAGAGAATGGTTTTGCTTGTTTAGTGTATATTTAGGAGGCTAATCTATACTTGGCAGAATTTTATTTAAATATTTAAAAAGTTGTAGCTAGGTATTTATTTGCAATAACTTGAATTATGTGATTTTTTTTAAGACTTGCAGGATGGGAGTACTAGTATTTATTGAATACTTGGATATTTGGTAGTTTTATTTGGGAATCTCTGGGATACATGATAAATTGTCAAATAATAAATTTAGAAATGTCTTCAAAGCAAAATAAATCAGTTCTGTAGTGAAAAACTTGAGTCTAATAAAGTAACATAAACTTTTTACATTGTATTTCTACAATTTCCACAAGTGCCCAATAATCTCTTTTCACAAAGAATGCAGATAATTGTATGGTACTATTCAATTTCATTGTTTTATACAAACCATGAGAAAACGTCCTTTTTTGTTTGCTTTAATAAAGAGTAGATTCATGTTCTAGATTCAGCTTCTACAAGATAACACCTTTGTTTTTTTCTGCAATTTTTAGTAACTATTGTTTTATTTCCCCTCCTCCAAAAAAATCTCAGTTTGGTAGCCTGTGCTTGCATTTCATTTGCTCATACAGACCTCTCACTTTTAGTGGCACGTAATTGTTTTGTGTTCCTAACTTATTTTTATGTCTGTTATTCAAGATACTGTCATAGATTCTGTTGAATTGGTTTTAAATTGATAAATGAAACATTGCCTTTCTTCTGATTTTCGTTGTCAGTAACTTTCATATTTTGATACGGTTCCCGGTGGGCCGTGCATGTTGTGTTGTATTTAAGCAATAGTCATCTTTCAGTTTTGAACCTGTTGCTCATTTTCTTCCTGCTGACAATGGTTCTTGCTGGATATTGTGTTGAGGATTATTCATTGTTTTCTTATCTGAAATCTATGTTTTGTAAGAATGAGATATTTGTGTATTAGAAGGTAATGTTTATCTGTAACATGGTATTATACCATATATGTGGTAATGTATTGTTACCTAAGGTGGTGTATTACTGTAAGAAAGCCCAAGAAGTGTTTCCTTCCCTTTACTTTAATACATTTTTTCATTTTCAATGCTGATTATTTCCCAGAGGAAGTGACTAGAGAGTTCTGCTCTTTACAGGTAAGCTCATCGTGTTTTTAACTATCTAGAATTAAGACATTTTTACTAAAAAAAAAATGCAGGGGAAAATGCAACAAAACACATGCAATTAGTTATATCTTCTGCTTCAGTGACTGTCCAAATTTCTGTTCAGTTAAATTCTTAACTTTTTCTAATTATTTCTCAGTAGCTGAACTTATTACTCTTTCTAAAAGAAAATAGAATCTGTCCTGAGGTGCCATTCAGCTCTTGTTTTTGAATGTCTGCTACATGTTTGCATCCAAGAGCAGACATGAAAAAATTAACTCTTTAACCTTCCATCATCATTCTGACTGTAATTAGCCATATTCATTTCATCAGCAATTTATAGGTCGGCAAGAGTTGTTTATGCTAAGCGTATGTTTGTATTTGCTGCCATGAATATCACTTTTTTAGATTTTTTAAACTTTGCTCTTCATTCTCAATATATGAGCCCAAATATAGATCATATATTCAAATGTCATAGTGAAGTTTTTAAGGTAGTCTTAGGTTTTTATATGTTAATGTCAATATTTGTGATTACACTGAATACAGTTCTAATCTATAGTGTTTCCAGGCAGTTTGGAAACTTTTTTTTTTTTGTATAACACCGCTGAACCATGGAATGCATCTTACATGACCTAACACAGTCTCTTAAATCCATATTGAGGTAAAATACTGTATTTTTTTTTCTTTTGTATGTGTAGATAATGCCACTATAGTAATAAACTGGTTAAAATTAAGCACTGCCTTTATTAGGAATAGGATAGAAAACTGAGAGCTTTGTAAAAGGAGAGGTTTGCCCTATGTGTGTTTTAGCAGAAATAAAATATGTTTAATTAACATGTACTATTTCAGAATATAATTTTAGCATCATTTTCTATAAAATTCAGGAGGCTGTTGTAACATGTTTGTTAATGGTATCTTTTAACAGCTTACTGAATTTTGTCAGCAATTTAAATTTGACCGAGACATGCTTCTTTTTTACCAGTGTCGTGACTTCTTGTGAATCACATTCAGGCAGTGTTCTTGTGACTCCCTCTGTGCTCTTCTGGTCTGAAAACCTTGTCCTGGACTGGAGGTGGTGGGAAGTGCCTGGGTGTCAATATCAATTTACAGTGTGAGATGTGGTTGTAAAACACTGTAATCCTTTCTAGAAGGAGCTATGTATAGCCATAATCTATAGTATATCAAAGACCGGAACAGAGTTCACAGGCACATTACTACAGATGATGGATAACACGTTCCTCTGTCCTTTCCAGAGATACATATAATAAAACTGGGTCATTTCACCAGGAATTTTCAGGGCGCTTTATTTCTATGCATTCCTTCTGTCAGTTTTGCTCTGATCTTATTGTTCAAATGCAATATGACTTAAACTGAAATTTTTAGGCCATTAGGTAACAGAAATTAATTACTCATCAGTTAAACAAATGAGCATAGTGGTACCAGATGGGTACTCTTTACCCATCCCGGGGGTGCAGGGGACACTGTTCTTCCAGTTTGGCCTGAAAGCACTCACGAGGAGTCTTAACTGAAACCACTGAAGCCATCATCTACTTGTGCTTTAGAGTCAGGGACTCTCCCTGGGGACATGATAAGTGCTCTGTCCATTTTCATTCTGCTTCCAAAAGGCCCCGGCAGATGAACCTCAGGATTAAAGGGTGGGCTCAGTTCCGCGCACACTGTGTCTCACCTAAAAAATCCAATGCGCAGGCTGGAAGGTGGAAAGACCTTCCCCGGTTCTTCGTTCGCGAAGACTGGCCATTAATGCCCTCTACAGCTAGCGGGCAGTATTATGTATTTACTTAGTAGGGAGGGTTGGGCACTACAGGTGTTCAGATGTAACAGACAGTTCTCGTTTCTCTTCTTCAGGAGTTTCAGTGTTTGTCAGGAATCTGTGTCTCAGTTAAATAATGGCAGAGTGGATTCTGTCAGGACTTGTATATATAAGTGGAGTTTGATATTTAAAAACATGTAACTGTCTGAAATTCATGACAGCAAAATCAAGTCATTTATCTAGAATTTATTCTACGTTTCCATTATTTGAATCATCCGCCCTGTCTACATGAACAAACTTGATATTTAAAAGCACTGGTTTTGAGATAATGACATCAGTAAAAGGGGTTGGTCTCATATGAAGGTATGGATAGTAAAACAGCTGTCTTATCAGCCTAGTTACCAAATGACTTTGGTACTGACATTGTGTAGCTGTGTTGCCTTTTTTTGCGAGTCCCTTACATGTCACGTACATGTCTGTATGTGACTTTCCCACCAAAATCTAAGCACTCTGAGGGATAGCCCTGAAACTGTTCTGGGACTCCCTCTCCTTTTCAAGTAGAATGACTGAGAAACCCTGGGACAGAATTGTCACATAGCTGGTGTGACACATTAAGACTTGTAACAAATGACTGATAACAGCCAACATCCTAGATCCATTAGACTCACACTTTGTATCATTTAGCTGGAGCCTACTTGCCCTTGTCTCACCGCGAGTACCTCTGTTGGCCTCTGAGTAGGGCTGTGCCTCAGGAAGTTCTAAATTCCTTAAAAGTCGCATTATGATGAGAGAAGAGGATGCTTATCTTAAGGCTAAGAGTTTAATTTGAGGCCACGCAATCTTAAGCGGTGAGTGATTTATATCCCTTTGTTTACACGGTGGGAGCTGCAGTCTGTACCTCAGGGGGGAGGCTCCACTGTTGGTAGGGACGGGGAGGATGCTCCTTGTGTAGCTGACGTTTTGGGGGAAACATGGATGTCGCAGGAGCTGGGGAGATGGAGATAAGCAGCGAGAGGGTTGAAAGATGGAAGACTAAGAGAAAAAGAACGCAGAGAAAAGACTGATACGTGGATGCGACCATGGAGAGTTGTGTCTGGTGGTCTTAATGCAGAAGTACAGGATGTGGACAGTTCTATTCTGATTCTCTTCTGATTTCCGTTCTTATACCAACAGTTACTTCAGTTGTTGCTCTGTTAGCGCTGCCAGACCATCAGCAGTGAAGGCATTTATAAACCACATCGTTTCTAAAAGATCTTCTCCGCTTACGGGCCTACTGCCATTGGGAAAGCCGATCCCTGTTATCCTATTATCTGAGGGCAGTGTGGTAAATCAGAACCTGGAATGACCCGCCCGTTTGAAGGTGTCACACCGGAGCTTTCATAAACTAAGCTTAAATCTTGATAGTAAGGAAACAGAACGTCTCCATGTTGGATGTTTAGGATGAATTACATGTAGGGCTGTGTGCTTTGGCTCTAGAAGTGCCAGGAATGTCCAGCACGAGTTCCCTTCCGTCGCTCCTTTCCACGCAGCCCCCGCAGGCTCGGTTCGCTCGGGGGGGACGGGCGCGCGTCGGGGGACGATGCTGGGAGGGGCGTTTGAGAAACGGGGCGCGAGCGCGGGGCTCCCGGTGTGTGTCCCGGCATGTCCCGGTGGTGGGCCCGCCGCTGCCCTTCCCCAGGCTCCCGTTCCCCAGACTCCCCTTCCCTTCCCCAAGCCCCGTTTCCCGGCCCGGCCCCGCCCCTTCCCGGCGGGGGCGGGGTTTGGGCCCCGCTCACGTGACGGCGCGCGGCCAATGGCGCGATCGCGTGATGCGCGGCGGGGGCTGCGCGCGCGGCGGAGGCAGCGCAAGATGGCGGCGGGCGCGTGAGCGGCGGCGCGGCCGGGGCGGAGGGAGCGAGGCCCGAGGGGAGCGGGAGGGGCCGGCGGGGCCGCCCGGGGCGATGGTAAAATGACCCAGGCGGGCAAGAAGAAGAAGCGCGCCGTGAACCGCAGCATCATGCTGGCCAAGAAGATCATCATTAAGGACGGCGGGACGGTGAGGCCGGGGCGCGGCTGGAGGCACCGGGGATCCCGGCGGGGGCGGCAGCGGGCGGGCAGGGCCTGGCGGGCCCGCGGGCCTCGGCAGCCGCGCCGGTGGCGGTGCCCCAGCGGCTCCTGCGGCCCGTAGGGCAGTTCCGGGCGCGGGACGGGCTTGGGGCGAGGAGCGAGCGCGGCCCCAGCCGCTGGGCCCGGGCCCGGCGGGGCGTTGGGGCTGCCTCGGGTGCGGGGCGTGTCCGGGGCCGCACAGGGCGGGGGGTGGCGGCACGGACCCCGTGCTCGCTGTGCTCGCCGTGCTCACTGTGATCGCTGTGCCCGCGGGCCGGGATAGGACGCACAGCGAAGGTTTTGTGAAGAAGGGTTTTGCAGTTTCTCACGCTGTCTTACATCCTCTGGAATACATAAATTTTAAAAAGAAGAGAAGTTGTTAAGTGGTTTTTGCTGTTGGAGCTTGGGGTTTGTTTGAGTTTGTGTTTTGGGTCGGTTTTTTTTTAAATTGATGAGTGCCATTACTTCCGGTGTATCATTGCCCCTGGATTTTTTCCACTGTGTAACATTCTGTGTCTTCCATGTGCCCTCTTCTAAATACGGTGTCATTATTTCATGTAAGAGACATCTTGACAGGCTAAGTTGCTGATAGCCCTTCAGTTTGTCTTTTTGGAACAATAGTGGAGGAAAGGGAGGTGCCAGAATCACTACACTTGTTCATCGAAGTGATGGCCATCTGTCTGGTTTACTTCAGTGTTAAGAAGCAAAACTAATTCCAGTGATGGCTTTTGGTGTTTTCCTGGACGTGTTTTCCCATTCTTTGTAAAGACAGAAATGTATGAGATTGTATTGTACTAATGTTAAATGCAAGTATTTTAGAAGGACTAGTAAAAGCAGAGTAAATGCTGTTACTCAGGGGACATGATGCTTCGTAATTTCTCTCTGGAGCATCATTGGTAAGGTACAGTCTGTTTCCAAGTGTCCTTTACCTGTCAACTTTAGCTTTCTTATGCTGAGAGAGGAGAAAGGATGTTACAATAAACTGCATTCAGTGATACTTGTAGTGCAGCATTCGGTGCCTCCTGCCAGTTCTAAAAGCAGAATGCAAACTTGCATGAGTTCTGTATGACTTTCAGTTTTTTAAAACACTGGAAACACGCCATAAACATTAGATGAAAGTACGTAGATTGTTGTTAGGTAATAAATTTCCGCTTGTGATACTTTCTGCTTTCAGATAAATGTTTTGGAATTTATTTGTTTTAAATACATTTCTAAAGTTGAGAGGTCTGGTATAGCAGAGTGTTTTTTATAATGACAACAAAAACTTTTTGCCTGAATTTTTTTTTTTAATGTTTTCTGTTATTTACCCTTCAGTGCTCAGCATCCTCAGCTGCTTTGTTACCCAGCATGTTGTGTTGGGTAACAGGTACATGAAAATGGCCCCCATGTCTTGAATGTCTCCCACTGGCAAACCAGTAATTAATCAAGTACCTTCATGTACAGTTTCCAGACTGATATTGGTTTATTTTGAAACTGTTTGACATCAAAGAAAACCGTGTGAGCCAACAAGAAAATACAGCTGGTTAATGAGGCAGTGGCACAGGCGAAAAGAGTTTCTGATGGGGAATTTTGGTCAAATCTAATGTAGTTGTCACTGGGTCTGATGTGGAAAGATAAAAAAAAAAAAAAAACAAGCCAAAAGGAAACCCACCCATTGTTTCTGCAAAGCCTCTCCTCCCACCACAGTTTGTGCTGGGTCGCCTTGACAAGGCAGTGGGAGGTGCAGGAGGTTGGGTTGGTGCATGGGAGTATTTTTGGCTTGTTCTCTTTGCAGCTTTAGTAGCTGTATCACAGAAAAAATGTGTAGTGGTGTGTGTGCTCGAGTGTGTGTTGTCAGATTTCACTGAAGGAGAGGCAGTAACACCAGTGAAGTGGTTTCATAGAATGATAAATGGTTTAGTTGGAAGGGACCTTAAAGATCATCTTGTTCCAACTTAAAATCCCATCCAGCTTGGCTGTAAACACTTCCAGGGATAGGGCATCTTTAGCTTCTGTTTCAACACGTTTTTCCCAGTAGTTTTAATTTTGCCTTCCTTTGTGACCGGCTACTATTTTTCTTATGTAAGATGATGAATTTTTGAAGCAGTCATGAAATTGCTTTATTTGTGTACTTTATTTGGTGCCTTTTCCAGCAGAGGAGCAGCAACTGTGATCTTACACCTGATGCCTTCGTTGCTTTGGTAGTTATTAGATGTGTGTTCTTAGGCTTGCCTAGCACGTACATTTTTTATCACTGACATGGCTGACAGTACAGAGTGTTTGGTTAAAGACATCTTCTCTCTAACCAGGGTAAAGGGCATTCTTAGAGCGCTGTTTTGTGCCACAGATTTAGCTGGATGTAAATACGTTCTGCTCTGGGTGCCTGGCTGCAGAAAACAGTTGTTACTCTGATTGAACATCTTGGTTCCAGCTTGTTCACACAAGGACTCTGTATCTTTTATCTCCAGGTGTAAGGCCACCTGATTTGGTTGCACTTGGGTCATTACATTACCTGTCAACCCCTTTATAAACCACAGGGGTCAGGTTATAGCGCAGGACAGGGCTGAACACCCAGCACCTGCACTGCACATGTTGGGGTAGGAGGGTTCATCAGACTGGTGCTGAAATCTTGTGGACTGAACACACATGAAATATCTTAATGGACTGCAATTTATCTGCTTATTAATCTCCTTCCATTTTTCTTCCACCTCAGGAGTATTTTTGCTACTTTATAGTTGCAACCACCTTTAAAAGTGGCTATAGAGGAGATGATCTAAATATGGCTAAACTACCTTTTTGTGGCAAAGAGCACTGGCAATAAGAAAGCAAGGAAATTTAACCCTAATGATCTAAATGTCACTTCTCTTTGTTTCTGCCAGCACGTAGGAAGCTTCTGTCGCTGTTGCTTACAGCTGGATGCCGTGGCAGAGGGCAGCAGTCACCTGCCCGTGTGTCTCTAAAGTCACCAGCGGTTCAGCTGTGCAGAACAGCCCCTGCTTTCACTGTGCTGTTTCAGTCTGTGCGTGTGCTGTGCGAGGAGCTGCCCAGAGCTGGGGGAGGCACAGATGGCCACTGAGCTCGTGTTTGCTGTGAATAGAGGTGCTCTTGACCCCCGTGCTTGGAGGGACAGGGATGGTTTGTGACACCCACCTCGCCATCTGTCATACCTTGGGGGGTCACGAACCAGTAACGTGACAGGAATCCAGGGGCTATGAGAATCAACCTGATTTTCTGATTTTATGACACTGAGCCAAACAGCTGATGTTGATACTTACTGTTTGTGCAGAGCTGGATAAATTTTTAACCCAAAGCTAAAATAAGGATTGTGGGTGGAAAGGGAAAGGAATTGTGGGAAGAGAAGATAATTATAGCCACTTTCTGTACCTAAAAAGACTGTTAATGTAACTCTTTAGGAGTGTGGGATGAAGGAATAGCAGAAATATCTGTATGGAATGTCTGTATTTACTGAAGAGGGTTTGGGAAAGAAAAATAGCACAATTCGATGGTACTTTTGTAACTCGATGTAACTTTTTGTAACCTTTTACATATTGATAAGGTTATTTTTAAAAATTTTGATCTTTTCTAGCAAGAGGGATGAGTAGCCAGTGAGGTTTTCTGTATTTATTTCCTATATTTGTTCAATAAATTTTCTTTTTTTTCCTATATTGTGAATACTGGAATCTGGAAAGAAAAGCTAGGTATGGCTTGCATAAATCTCATAGTAAAAGAAATATTCTAATATTACAGACCTGCAGCTTGGAATTGTGTAGTATTTGAGGCTGGAAGGCACCTCTGAACATCTCTGATCCATCTACTCCACTCTCTTACCCCAGACAGGGTCAGCTGGAGCAGTTTGCTCAGGGCTGTGTCTAGTGAGGTGTGGGGGACGGAGGCTCCCCACTTCGCTGAGCAGCCTGTTTCAGGGGGTCCTTGTTCAAGGCTTAAGTAGAATTTTTTGTATTTCAGTGTGTGCCTCTGGTACTGTCACTGACACCCCTGAGGAGTTTCTGGCTCTTGTCTTTGCTCCCTCCCATCAGCTACTCACACACATTGATAAGATCCCAGTGAGCCGCCTTGGGAAGCTGCTGAGGTCTTTAGGCTGTGTGTGCTCAGTGTAAGGTCAGGTCTGATCACATCAGTGCCGCTCTTAGTAACACTTACAAGGCTGGGAGACTCGATGTTAAGGCAGCACTTCAGAGTTTAAAGAATGCATATGAGATTTCTGATGAGTTATTCATAGTGCCTTCATGTGAAAATAATTAGTGAACCATATCCTTAATTTGCAAATGTTGCACTGTGGCATGTTGTTTGACAGCATTTACAGAGTCTACAAGATGAGCAGGTTGTCCCAGCCATGCTCCTTTTTATTCTTCTCAAAAGCTACTTCTGATTCTACTAAATCACTGAAGAATTCAAAGTTCTTTATGTCAAATCTTTCATCTGTATCACTTCCTGCATTTGAGCGCCCTGTAGCTCACAGGCCTGCACTCAGTATTTGGGAAGAGATCAGTGCTGTTCCTGAGATTTGCTGTGTTTGTTATTTCAGTTTCTTCCCTGATTTAGAGCTATCAAAGTTTTGTGTGTAGCAGTGGTGCCTTTTAGTAACAGAAGTGCTGTAGAGCTGTTTTATATAGACCAGGTAATTAGATTTTGGGATAGCTGAGTATGAACACTACCATGTTTTGAAATCGTGAAAACCTGATTCCGTGTGGCATTCTGTAAACTTATGCAATTTTCTCAAGGAAAAGAAACTAATTCTCTGAAGAAGAGTCTGTTTTCCCTGTAGCATCTTTGTTTCCCAGACTGGCAGTACAAGAGGTTAATATTTAGAGATGGCAGTGAAGGATTCTGCAGACTAAAATTAAGACACTATGGGATGTTATCACCAAAGGGTTAAAAAAAGGAATTTTGCCAGTTAGCTGGGGTAACTGTATTCCCAAGTTTTGAGTCCTGTTCAGTTGTTAATCCTTCTATTTTTAGTGTTCAAATGCATTTCTCATTACTCTGATAGATGGTTAGATGTTTTAATCACCTGTCTTTTCTCTTGTTTTAGCCTCAAGGAATAGGCTCACCCAGTGTCTACCACGCTGTTATTGTGATCTTCTTGGAGTTTTTTGCTTGGGGACTCCTGACAGCTCCCACTCTGGTGGTAAGTGATTCTCTGGAGCTTTTTCTCACCGTACAGGATGTGGGGCAATTACTGCAAAGGCACTGAGCATCTTCTGAATTAAGTGAAAATCACATATCATTGAGCTGCTCTGTTGTGCAAGTGAGAAGTTCTGTATTTTTAGATGTTATCAAAAATTTCAAAATCTTCCATTTAAGCTGGGTAGTGGTGTAGCAATAGCTGTTTACATGCAAGTGTGCTAACACTCAAGCTTACATGTAAGTGTTTTCTGATTGAAATCAGTAAGACAGTAATGCAATTATCTCTCCTTTTAAGAGGCCACCAAAAGTTGGCACGTTACAAATATAAGGACAAAAACACTTCAAATTTGGTAACGTTATGCTATCGTGTGTGTGTGTGTGTGTGTGTGTGTGTAGGTAGGGAGACCTTTGCTGACCTGGCTGTGTTTTAAACAGAAGCTTCAGAGCACAGACCCTGTCACACCAGTCAGAGCTTCCTTGTGATTAGTGAGACAGTCATACCAGCGTGTTTGTACCAAATTATTTTGTCATGTAGCAGGTTGCTTTTAATTTGGATTTAATCTGTGAGTGACACATGCTGGCAAATTAAAAGGAGTGAAGGCTTAAAAATCTTCAAGCAGGCTCCACCTAAAATGCAGTCTTGGTGCAGCTCTGAAAGCTGATGTTAACCACGAACAGTGTCCTGGTATAGACAGCACTTTGGTTACTGAAGGGAGTCCCTCTCACTGCCACCAGGCACAGAGAGACCTGCATTTCCGGGCTCTGGTCACCGAGCTGGGAGGCACTTACAAAAGTGAGGTGATGTCTCTCCTCCCTCTCTCCCCAGTTCCCGACAGATGGCACAGTGACACATGGAAAGTCTGGTCTGAGATAATTTTCTAGGTTCTCTGTGGTCTATTTAGATTTCAGACATTGAAGTCCCAAATTACTTTCCATGCAAATTAGAGGTTAAATATATTATTTGTGGTTTGCCTTTTTGTTCCTCTGTGTTCTATGAAAATAAAAAAGTACTGTGCATCATGAAGTTGGATGCTGCATGAGAAACATTTGTAGTTAATATTGTGTAAATGACAGTGTTCATATTTCTTCTCCAGGTTTTGCATGAAACCTTCCCAAAACATACATTTCTAATGAATGGTCTAATTCAAGGAGTAAAGGTAAGCTGACAGGAGTTAATCACAAGTACATTTTAAAGTGAATGGTGGGAGGAATACAGAAATGAATGCCAACTGGGTGAAACATTCAAGAGCTTTTTCAATATGGCTTTTCCAGTATAACAGGGGAGGAAATTGCTGCTAAAAAGGTAAATGTGCATCACTTCACTTCTAGTAAGGTATGGCTTGGTCTGTACCTATTGTTTAGGTTCAGCAAATAAAAAAGGTAGTTGACTAATCCCAGATGATGCATATAGTGGTAAAAGTTGATAATTTTTACTTGGAGCTTGTTGCTCCCATAGGGTATTTTCAATTACTTAGGTTTATGTGAAAACACACTTCATAAAACTGCTAGTATGACTGGATCATCTGTGTTTTGAATTTTGTGTAGTTCTGGGGTAACAGATCTCAAATTTTATGGAACCAGACATGGGATAGAAGATCAGTAATGCTTGGTCTTTGATGCATTGCACTGTAGTCATTGACTTGAATCAAAATAGAGCCCAGGCTGCTTTCAGACTGTGGTGTGCTCAGCTATCACAATTCTAACCACTCAGTTCTAACTTAAAATGTTCTGTTCATTTAGGGCTTATTGTCGTTTCTCAGTGCCCCACTCATAGGTGCCCTGTCTGATGTGTGGGGACGAAAGTCCTTCCTGCTGCTAACGGTGTTTTTCACCTGTGCACCAATACCACTCATGAAGATCAGCCCGTGGTCAGTAAATTCTTTCACAGCAGTTTGGCTCTTTCTTGTTAAGGCTGCATCTAATGCATTTGTTTGTGGTGTTGTTGATAAATGTTTACGGTTCATGGGAGGTTGAGGCTTTTGTATTACTTACGTGCAAAGCTGGGGGAACAGAGTCAAGCTGAAGAAGCTGCCCTGAGACCAGAGTCCTTGATCAGAATTTTAACAGCTGCTGGCTTTGATCTGTGTGCTGTAAGCCCTCGTCCTGCTCCAGCACATGTGCAAACGCTGGGAGAACGCTCTCCAATAAACTGTGCAGGTCTGTAGTGTGGCCACAGTACTCAAATACTAACAGGCTGTGTGGAAATTACAACCTGACATAATGTGAGTGGATGAAATAACCATTTGTAACATAAAATGTTGGTACAGTTTTACACTTTTGTTTCTGGAATTCTAAAATCCACCAGCTTTCATGCTGTGTGCAAGTTAGTAACCTCTGAACTGGCTGGAACATCCCCCAGGCGGGGCATGAACAGGAGGACGTGGCAGCAGCAGCGCAGCCTGCACTGACAAGGGGCAGCACCTGCTGTTCAGGGAGCTCCGTCAGCCTTTCCCGCTTTCTCTCTGGTCACACAGCTTGTTCATCCCCCTTTGGAAGGAGCTTGTTTCTAAGTGTAGATTAAGGTTTCAAATGCCAAGTGCTAGTGTCTGTAGCATAAAGATATGGCTAATGGTGAGGCCTTTCCATGACCAGATTCTCAAAATACTGAAGTTCCTAATTTGCTTTGGGTCGCAAACCAGTTGAATTTGTTAGTTGAACACCTCATTTCCCAGTAGTACTTCATCACAGCAGTGTTTTGTAGATGTTACAAAATCACGCTGTTTGTACTCAGTGCACTGAGGAGGAGTTACACAACTCTATCAAGACACATTCACATTAGCTTTATCCATGATTATCTCAATAAATCATCAGGATAAGTTGGACAGGGTGATTTAGTGTGAACTGCACTTGGATTGAATAGACTTTCTGTTTCTATTTAGCTGTTCTAATTTTTTTTATCGTGTTCTAGGTGGTACTTTGCTGTTATCTCTGTGTCTGGAGTTTTTGCAGTGACGTTTTCTGTAGTTTTTGCTTATGTAGCAGACATAACCCAAGAACATGAGAGAAGCATGGCCTATGGTTTGGTAGGTATTATTTTGGCTCTTTTCCTGGGGTGTGCAGTACTAAACCCTTCAGTTTGTAACGCTTTTCAAAGCTGCCTGTTTGTTTCTTCTGGGGCAAGTTGATTTTAGTTTGGAGTCAGGTTTTTCCGTTTAATTGTTCCTGTCATCCAGTCTTGTATCTTTGGAATATTTTGCTTCTGAATTAAATACAGCTCATTGCTTCCCAGAGATATGAGCAGACCCTAGAGTACATGCAAGAGTGCTGCGAGCCTCACATTGCTGTCCAGTTATCAGAAAAAGGTTTTCTTGAAAAACTGTGATTTTCTGAAACACAGAGCTGCTACCACAGAGGCCTGATTAAAATGGTTAGGCTTCTGAAAATGAGGAAGCGTGGGTAATAACACTGCTGACCTGTGTCACTGAAACTCTTACCCGCTGTGGTTTGTTCCAGGTTTCAGCAACTTTTGCGGCGAGTTTAGTCATCAGCCCTGCTATCGGTGCCTACCTTGGTCGTGAGTACGGAGACAGCCTGGTTGTGGTCCTGGCTACAGCCATAGCCTTGTTGGACATTTGTTTCATCCTCGTTGCTGTGCCAGAGTCGCTGCCAGAGAAGATGAGGCCGGCATCCTGGGGAGCACCCATTTCGTGGGAGCAGGCTGACCCCTTTGCAGTAAGCTACTTAAATAGGGAATATTCTGTTATTTGTAGATGTGGAGCTTCGGAGACAGGGAAGAGGCTGAATTTACTGTGTTTCAAGCCTGAAAACAAAGCCTTTTTTTTTTAAATTTGACCTTGTTTCACTGTTAATACTTTTGCCAACAGTCTTGCTAAACATGCAGGGAATGCTTTGGTGGTGCCACATAACCTTTTTGGGGGTTTTTCAGATCCCCGCTAGGGATGATTTCTGAAAATGAAGGTTGAATATTTTATAATGTTTTATACTTTTCTCTTGCTGCAGTCACTGAAGAAAGTCGGCCAGGACTCCATTGTGCTGCTAATCTGCATAACAGTCTTTCTTTCCTACCTCCCAGAGGCAGGCCAATATTCCAGCTTCTTCCTATACCTCAGACAGGTAATGGAACATTTTGGTATGGATTTGAACAACAGTAAATTCACAGGATTTAGGAAAGTTTTCAGAATCCTGAATTATTATGGGAAATATAGATAACTAGTATAATTTAAAAGCCTCCAGCAGCTGATTTAAGTCCTCTTGCTGTTCTGTTTTTCTCTCTTTATAGAGACACAAAAAGAGTGAAATGATGAATGAGCTATAAAACAATTTTTTGTATTTTGTAGTTATTTGCATTATTCTTGGACTACAAGTTCAGTATGTTAAAACTGGTTTTTTGAGAGAACTATTTAATTTTTTTCTATTTATGCCCCTTTGTTTTTATATACTTACTTTATTTAATAATAATAAAAAAAAACAACTCCAAACCCTATGACTTAGATTTCTAAGTTAAGGAAGAGCTGAATAATAGTGGTCTCCTGTGTTGTGTGTTCCCTCACTGTGTTTGTGACATCCTGATACATGGTTTATGGTTAATAATCAAATTGCCTTTTTTTAATATAGATTATGGGATTTTCGTCTGAAAGCGTTGCAGCATTTATAGCAGTCCTTGGGATTCTTTCCATTATTGCACAGGTGAGTTATTGCTCCGTGTGTCATTGATTTGCTAAGTTCAAAAGAATGAAGCACTGTGGAGAACTTCGGGAACGCTCACCTTTTCTATAGCTGTTTTTTTCCAAATCTCTAACAATTGATTAACACTCTATCATAGATGAAAAAAGTACTTGACAACCAGGGTTTGCTTCATTAATATCTGATATGTATTGTGTTGGGAAAACTAAATCCTTTCTGCATCAAAGGAGTGAGGGTTTGGTTATATTAATTCCTAAATAATTACTGTTTTTTGGGTAGAGGCAACTACTGCTTCTGGAGAATTTTATCTTAAAGCTAATTTATTTGTGTATATTTGTCTTTGAGAATAAAATGTTTTCAGGGGTTTTGTTGCGTTTTTAATTATTAACTCATCAACTCGTCTGTGTTTAACATTTAGAATGTTGTTTTTCTGATTTTTTTTTCCCCCCACCTTTTCCCCTGTTAGACAGTAGTTTTGAGTTTACTTATGCGGTCCATTGGAAATAAAAATACCATCCTGCTGGGCCTGGGATTTCAGATACTGCAGCTCGCGTGGTACGGCTTTGGATCAGAGCCATGGTACGTACATTGCATTTCAGTCTCTGAACGGTAGTTTTTGTCTGCATTGTACCCTTTATCCGAGGGGCTCCCAGGTGTGTGTGAGGCACATCCAGCGTTCTTGTGCTCCAGCCGTGCCGGGCAGTGATCCCAGTGTGTGTTTTGCAGGATGATGTGGGCAGCCGGTGCCGTGGCAGCCATGTCCAGCATTACCTTCCCAGCTGTCAGTGCCCTGGTTTCACGGACTGCTGATGCCGACCAGCAGGGTAGGTTTCGTCCTGGCTCTTGGAATTCTAGTCAGGGAATACTGTGCAGACATACGGGGGTCTCGTCGTGCTGCTCGTCAGGCAGCCCCAGCTGGCGGGCCAGCCCAGGCTCCTGCGCACAGGGCACCACGTGCTAAATCCAGGGGGCTGGGCAGTTGCAGTGAGTGCATCTCGTACTTCTGAAGAGGGAAAACCTTCATCAGGTCCCAACAGTAGTAAAATATTCACCAAACTTATTGTCTATCTCCTGGCCTAAGAGTGAGCTCAGCATGGCAAGTACTGCTCTGTGCTGGAGGCAGATGGAAAAACCACCTGAATGTACAATAATTACCAGCTTTTTGCACCCCTTTATTACTACCCATAGTGCAACAGCATGTAGAGCTTTCCTGCTTGCATCAGTTTGAAGATAAAGTGAATAAAGGCTTACACTGTTCTCATCTACCTGTATTTATACACATATAACTAACTATTTTTAATGAATCAGTATTTTGCTTTTCCCAGGTGTTGTTCAAGGGATGATAACAGGCATTCGAGGACTGTGTAATGGTTTGGGACCAGCACTTTATGGTTTTATATTCTATATATTTCACGTTGAATTGAATGAACTCCCCATGTCTGAATCACCATCAGGAGGTAGTGTGGTTGCACAATACCCTTCACAACAGGTATGTTTCTTTTTTTGCTTACAGCTTCCAGTAGGAAGGGATAACGTGCCCATCAGTTTGATGCTGTGTTACATTCAGTGACACCAAGTGGTGTGTGTAGAAAGAGGTTCTTGAGTCCCTCTTGGGGCAGGGTCATTGGTCTGTTTGTTTTTAACTGGATGCATTGGTTTAGTTTAACTTTCCAATAGACACAGGTGATGGTCATAGACAACTGTGACCCTTGTGAGCAGAACACTAGAGGGAAGGATGGACTGATACCAACAGTGTGCCAATGGTGTATGTTTTGGTTTTGTTGTCCTTTAACCAAGCTGGGTTTTTTAATTCCTAATAGATATTAGTTTATTGAGGAAACTCAGCAGGAAGAACGTGCCCTAGAAAAGGAAGTTGGCAGGCATTAATAAGAACCACGTGCTCCCTTGTCCTAAATCTTAGGATGTAACATTGTTTTCATATTTTTTTAAAAGACTCCACTGTATTAACCAGTGTATTTGGAAACAGCTCTTCCCACTGCAGAAATTGGGCTAATTAGCAATTGTAGTCTGTTAATGTGTGTTTAAAGGCTCACTGACATGTTGTGGTGTTACTGTTGTTGCTTTCAGAACTCCATAATTCCCGGACCCCCATTCTTATTTGGAGCGTGCTCTGTGCTGTTGGCACTACTTGTTGCCTTGTTTATTCCTGAACACACAAACCTAAATGTACGATCCAGCAACTGGAAGAAACACTGTGGCAGCCACGGCCATCCCCACAGCCCACAAACTCCTGGTGAAGCTAAAGAGCCACTGCTGCAAGATACAAATGTATGACAAAAATCCAGGAAGACCTTTTGGACTCTTTTCATCAGCAGTTTGGGATACACATTCCAATTCCATCAAAATGTAATTTCTTAAGGTAATCTTAAGAAGTATCTTTCTGCATGAAATCTGTAGGAATTAAAACGGAGCTTTCTCCAAAGATGTTGCCATTGAACTAAAAACTTGCTTTTATAAACAAACAGTTACATACTTGTCTCTTGCCATGAAATACTGTTACTGCTAAACTTAACTTTACATTCTAGTTCAGAGACAAAAAGTAGAGTCCAGGCATGAGCATGTGTCCTTGTTTCCTTACGGTGGTGAGCTTTAATTCTAGTCACGCTACGTCTCAATGAGACATACTGGCATCCGTGTGGACCCATTCGTTTTAAAATCTTGGGTCAGTTGATTCAAAGCCTTAATGTAAATGTACTCTAGTAGGGAGAAGGTAAATTGGTATCATTTCTTTTAAAAGTCACATGGCAGGTTTTTTTTTTAAGTTTGTACTAATACAAAAATCACATGAGCACGCTTGCTGAACAGTAAAAGTTATTTTTTATGTAAGTGCATTTACTCTTTCTATTTTTGAATAAACGGTAGTGTCAAACACTTGTTTAAATAGTAAGTGGGTGTTTTGAGCCTACAAATTTTAATACTGGCTCTAAAACTCTGCTTTCCTATGTACCGTTTATTATACCACTATATTTCTTCTGACGTTTGCGTAATCATAAGGACCTCAAAACTTGAATACACAGACTGAATATAAGCTGATAGCCTTGAATCTGTCCGTGTGCTATATAGTGGCCTTTGAGGACTGTCACAATAACCCTTTTGCATTACAGAGCTAAAGTTTTAGTCCTAAATTTTCAGGACCCTTAGTACAGAAGAGAGCTTTATATACAATTACTGATGTGAATTTCTCTAAAAGTGTATATTTTTGTGTCCAGTTGTATTATTTAAGTGTTCCTTTGTATAAATTTGTGTATAAAGTATTGTATAGGTTTAAAATGTTTTCATCTTGTGGTTATTGCTTAATGCTTTTTTACCTTTGAACATTCACCATGGTTGACCAAGAGCAGGAAAAAAAATATGTAAATATACTGTTAATAAAGTTGAATATTTTAATGAATTTTTAAATACTTGTTAACGTCTCTTAAACCCTTAATTGAAGTGCCATAGTGCGTGTTACACTTCAGCAGGTGGGCAAAGTCAGCTGGAGTACAGGTGCAGCAGGTTTTATGTGTCAGATAAAGCAGCCTTGGAATTGTCCCTGCTGTCCCAGGCCAGGCTGGCTGCAGCTGGCTCCTGGTTCCCTGGGAGATGGAAGGCAACAGGACCGATCCAGGCTGCAAGAAACAGGTCAGTTGCACAGCCCCCCTTTCCTGGGCTGCAGGGCCCACCATACTTGTGTTTTGTATCTGCTCTGAGGAGCCCTGGGAGATGGGAAAGCTGCAACCCTGTAATTTGCAGCTCATCTGTACGGGGAGACAAATAGCAAGTTCGGTCATTTTACACCGCCTGACACTGGGAAATGGGACTGTGAGCACAGGGTGGCTGCCGGGGGGAATTTGTACAGTGAGTGGGGAAGGAATAAGCTAGGAAGAAAACTGCAGAACAAAGGTGAAATAAATAGTGGTATTCTGCCACTCGCCTCATCTGGGAATTTCGGTACAGTGGAGATGTTGGTTTAGAACTCTTAAAATATTACTGATCAGAGCTTTTGATAAAAAACATTTAATATTTCCATTGAAACTTACACATGACAAAGCCAGTGAATATACATAAACATGGTGCTGATTTATAAACAAATGTACACATTTCACACAGCAAACCAAACCACTTAAATGTACAATCCTCAGGCTGCACTTAATTAACTAAGATAAAAGGTATGGAATATCTGTAACAAAAGTATGTAAATAGTCATTTTAAGTGTACTGTGCCTGTTAGGAGTACATGCCTACTGCTTCGATAAGGGGACCCCAAATAAGAGCTGGCACAAAACGGGTTGTTACATGATTTAGGCACTTGAACCCAGACAGCAGAGCAAGCTGAATAGAGTATCTTAAATTTCTGTACAGTCTTACAGCTGTAAAGTATGATTTGTAAAAATAAAGTCTCTTTCTTTTAGATGTTTTTATACTTGTCAATAGTTAACCTATTCAGATACTTCACCTTGCAATGTTTTATGCGTGGTGGCCTGTGGAATGTAATTCTGAGAGATTAACAGAAAAGTTAGGGGGACCCAGAGTGAGAAATTTTAGTTACAATTTTATACCTTCAGTGAAATAATTTAGCGTCTTTAAAATTAGATTTGTATGGAATTCAAATAATCTGGTTCAAAAGTTAAGTGTTTAAAACTAAAATGTAAGGGAGGATTAGTGAGGCACTTGTGGTCATTTATGAGCTTAACCATTACTAAAGCTGGCAGCACAGCCCCAATTCTCCAGTGCTTTCCATGTGCCTCTTCCTTTCTCTGAAAGAATGTAAAAACTCATAGATATACGTTCTTGTTCAGGGAATGTACATTTCACCTGTTCTAAAAAACAGCACTTTGGTGGGGTTTTAGGACCATTACAGGGTCAACAATACATGAAGAGAAAATTCTGCACAGCCGCAGTAACTTACTGTCAGTGTTGGTCCCACTACAGCAGCTTAAAGCTTTCTCTTCTCAGGCTCACGTACCCTGGAACATCACCCAGTCAGTCAAGATACCTGTCTCAGAGAAAACTGCCTGATAAAAAATGATGTCAGTTCACATCAATACTCTACTAACACACTATTACAGGACATTCAAAACTCCCCCAAATGGTTAAACGACGCCTCTCGCTGTCAGAACCCTGTCTGTTATCCGGGAAAATAAGCCGAGGCTGGTGTTCCTGCAGCTTTGGGCAGTGGCTGGGCTTTGGCTGGCAGGTATGGTCTCAGGTACTCTGTGGAACAGCACAAACACTTCATAGAACCACATCTGTTACTGCCCTTCAGGTACATTTCAAATAAGGTCTTGTTCGCCATGTCATACATACCCGAGTTCAGCGTGTTCTGACTAAGGCCTCGTAAAGGAATGCTGTCATCTTTTTTCTTGAGATACTTGGATTCCAGCCCCAAATGATCACCACTAGAAATAAAAAGGCTAATTAAAATTGAAAGGAAATGCAGTTTGCTATCAGTGCATTGCAAAAAGTGTGGCTACAGACTCATTCAGAACAATTGAAGTGCAACTACTAAGAACTTTATTTACCATTTAAAGTAAAACAATTGCTGAGTAGGTTAAGAACAGTATATATTATATATATAATATATATTAATCTATAAGAACTATATATTTTATACAGATACAGTATAATGAATATAATTATAATAATAAATATAAAGATAATAATAAAAAGTACTAAAAATGCAGCAGAGGACACTTACTTCTCCTTATTTGCTGGATGGCTGGTTGTAGTCACTGTCTGAGCATCTGAACATCGGTTCAGTTTAGGAAGCTGTGTGTTAAACTGAACCTGCAGAGACAAGAGAGCTGCAGGTTAAAGAGCTCCTCTCCAGACGTGACAGGCCCCACCTGTGAGTGCATTCAGAGAGCCAATTTCCCAGGGATGAGTGTTCCTACAGCTCCCACAGCACTGCTGTGCAGAGTAAGCACCCTCAGGACGAGCATTAGCCATGGGTGATAATGTCCAAGACAGGGAGCCTGAGAGCACAGACAGCAAATGCTTCAGTATTTTGAGAAATAGTCACAACATTATGCTTTGGTATTTTATGCTGTCACGTTCTTAATCAAAGTCAAAGTGCCTGCCTTTGGTACTGGACATGGGGAACTGGTGTTTTTGCTGTGTGCTGGTTCCAGGAAGTTCTGGAAGGCATACAGAGGAGAAATGGGATGACTGATTCCTGAGCTGGGAAAGGATGGTCTGTCAGGCTGTAAGAGAAACAGAATACATTCATAAAGGAGAAACAATTCTTAAAGTAATTGTTTATAGAAAATCAAAATTCCAAAATTACCCAACCAACATTTCAAAGCCAACACTCGTGAGTCTTCCTGATGGGAAAAAAACATCGCTTCTCCAAGATTCACGTGCTTAAGGAAAACTTGCAACTTTTAAAAAGACAGATGAGTTGAGCACTCTTAGCCAGTGAAAAGCTACACAGCCTGTAAGTGATGAATATATGGAATGTAGCAGCTCTCTCTGAACGTGCCCTTCCATCACTGAACAAGCAGCTCATCAATTACAAGGTACAGATCTCTGCTGCCACAACTCAGGGGAAGAACCAGGAAGTTGTGGTATTTAACAATGACTGCAGGTAATGTTTCTTACCCCTTATTTTCATGGTTTTAAGTATCACTAGTAACAGTATTCAAATAGTACACTTGTTTTTCATGCTATACAAAGATAATTAGTAATCTAACATCACAACATAAAAATGCCTCTTTTTTTTTTTTCCTTCACCTTGCATTTCATCTTTTCCAAGCTAATTCTGCGCTGGTTTGTGTATTTTATGTAAATGAGAGCTTAGAAAATTCTCACCCATGAGGCTCAAGACATCAACTACCACCCAACAGGGTGTTATGTTGTTAAAAAAAAAAAAAAAGGAAACAAAACAGAACCACAAACCACACCCACCCAAACTTTAGGACCAAAGAAGGTGAAAACACTTTTTTTTTTTTTTTTTTGCTTTTAAGGGCCACACATTTCAGGACTAATGACAACATCCCAACCCTGTGATTTATAGCTCTGTCTCACCATGCCATGAGGTGAAGAGGCAGCCCTACCACCACCGTGTGTGCTGGCAGAAGTGTCCAGCCTCTTTGCCATCTGAACTTCACTGAGCTGTCTGTTCAGCCAGCTGATCACTGCAGAGGGGAGAAAAGCTCAAATTCATCTCCTACCTCCTACAAGCTGTTTGAAATGGCAAGTAGTCCTTCCTCAAAAAAAGCGACAGCTCCATGGACTATTTTTCCTCCTTAAGCTGATCCATCACTGGGAGTCCCGGTCCCAGGAAAAGCCCATTTGTAGAAGTTTCCTCTACCCCTCCAAGCCTGAGCACTCCACCCCACAGCCCCACGCAGCAGCTCCAAGGGAAGCCTTCTCTACTTGCAGCTCTAGGCTGTTGCACTCCCAGCAACAGCCAGAAGTTGTTTTTGGAGCATGACAGCAATTGCAGCTCTTCACAAAAGCCCCAATATAGCTGCTTCCATTAATTTTCAGTAGCAGCACGATCACTATGTCATTTTTACAGAAGGAGAAAGGACACTGTATAAACCTACCATTTTCATTGGTTTTCAGTAGCTGCTTACTTTCCTCTAGTTTTTGTATTGTACTTTCTAGCTGTTCTTGTAGCTTGCAAACCTGTAATAGTCCCATAATAATTATAAGACCATCAGGAGCTACTACTAACTGCAAACAATAACAAAAAAAAGCATCCATGAAGTTGTTCTAAAATTAAAGAAGTTTTATACAAAAGCAATATGGTAATTCTTTTAAAGTAAGCCAGGGTTTCAGCAAGATTACAGCCAGAATCCTTTCTGACCTTTATTTTTCTATTATTAAATAATGCAAGGACTCTAAACGGGGGAACACACTTAATGGAAGAAAAAGGTTCACTCTGTTCCTGCTCTTGCTTTCTTCACCAACCTGACATGAATGTGTCTTCTAAAGGATGCTGATTCATCCATTATATTGCTTTGTACTCTTAATACAATTTAGTTTTCTTCCATATGAGTGGATCTTACAAATCAGTTTAACATTAAAAAAAAAACTGAAAGTTGATCCCACATTTATTACACATATGGAAATCAACATATCAGTATATTCTATTCCACAGAAAGAGGTAAGACCTTAAGTAAGTTCAAACATGCAAAACCCAACACAGCACATACAACAGCATTTATAAAACAGAAGGTTAAGCTATCACAGTACCTCCTGCTCTTTCATTCGAAGGGATTGTCCCATCTCCTGCAATTCCCTCTGCTCTTTTTGAAGTCTCTCTTCTTTTTCTCCCAATAATTTTTCCTGCTGAATTGTTACTGTGTTTTTCAATTTTAATTTACTCAATAAAGTTTTCAAATCTCCTTGTAACTTCTTGATAATTTCATTAGCCTATTAAAAAAAAACCCCAAGACATTATCAAAATAAATACCTAAAAATAAGGAAGATGTTTCACAAGGAAAGTGTCATGGTTGAACAAACCTTAAGGAGTTCAGCTGACAGCGACTTAATTGTTGTCTCTAGTTTTTCAATATGCCTCTGTTTTTCCTCTGTACTCTCTTCCAGAATCACCTTTAAAAGAATATTACAAAATATAATAACACTGTGAAAGACATCACTTATGATTTCAAGTAGAACCTCCATTATTCTTTAAGAGCTATCCTTACAAGAAATCAGTCACTGCTTTTCAGTCAGATTTCACAGCATCTCAATTCTTTTTTTCTTCCAAAAAAATACCACTAACTATACTCCAGTACCACAGTATTAAACCTGAATGCAGTATACTTTTGATGCCATAATTTAGAACCTTAACTACATCTGAAAGCTGACTTGCCATATTCAAAAAATGGTCCGTTGCTACTCTATGGAAACTGCAATTAAGAAGGTTCTAGAGAGTTTAGAGAAAATTATTTTGAAGCTTGAAGAACCTTTTGCTCTTGTGTTGCATCTAACACTTCTTTTGTTCTAGTAACCAGCTGATCCTTGTCTTTGATCTCCTGTTCCAGAACAGCCACCCGTGTCTGGAGCTGATTAATGAGTTTCTCTTTCTCGTGGCATTCAGCATCCAGAGTCGTGTTCTCCCGACGCAGCGACAGCACCTCCTGCTTCGCTCTCTGACAATCCTAGAGCATTGCCAAGGAATTCAATTGTTATTTTTTAGGAAAACCTTAATAGTAATTATTAGTATTTTAAATTAACAGTAATTTAAACAGATATATCTAAATAATAAGCATAATACAGAATGAAGAGGAAATGAACAAACTTAGTATGCTGTATTTTCTATTACGTGCCCAGGAAGGCAGTGTTAATGCTCTAACACCAGTAAGTTTGGGTTTAGAAAGTAAGAAGCCTTACATCTTCTATTCCAGAAAGTTTTGCCTTCAGTTCTCTGACTGTAGAGTCTCCTTTGTATCTTCTCTCTGTTAGGTCCTTATTGATGACCTCGAGTTCTGAGAGTCTGTTCTGCAGCTGCTGGATACTCTTCTGATGCAAAGTTTCCAATTCCTTTTTCTGCTGTTCATGCTGTTGTTGGTACTGAGTTTGTGCCTGTGGGAAGCAAAGAAATTAAGCAGCTATTCAATTATTCTGACTATTCACATGTAAAAATATTGTTAATTCTTTTCCCTCATCGTACCTGGAGAGCTCTTTCCTTTTCATTTGTCAGCTCCTGGGAGTGTTTGTTGGTTAGAGCTGTGGTGTATGATGTCCATTCACTTTTCAGTTTGTCCAGTTCTCGGCTCTTCTCTGACAAGCTCTGTTTAGGTTTGACAAAGTGTGTAGACTTTTAAAAATTTAAGCATTTCAGTCAATACTGAATAATTCTTTACTATTACTTACTAAAAGGAATTATTAAGAGAAGTCTAAATTTCAGCATCAGATGCCAAAATATCTGTTTATTCTGTAACTAGGAAAAGTAAGGCACTGAGAACCTGAAGAACACCTTTCTGACACTGTGAATAAAGCAATTTAATTTCCAATTATACTTTCTTCCAATCACTACCTAAGAGTGAAAAACCAGCCTACTGATGTTCCCTACCCTTCTAACACAGAGCACTCTAGTGTGGAGAAAAAAAAAAAAAACAAACTCTTCAGCAGCATCTTTTCCTCTTCTTGATCTATAATTCTGCATTTCAATTCAGCAAACTCATTCTAGTAACTCAAACTGAAATTGTAAACAAATATTCCGCTCCAAAAAAGCTCCATAACAGGAGTTTTAATGGAATTATTCTGTTTCATGACAGTCAAAGAAGTCACCTTGATAACTGTAGAACTTCACCCAAATCATCCTCTTGTAACCCAAAGGTGAAGTAATTACTGTGCTGACTACAAAAAGTAAAAAGGAGTCAAGTAACTTGGAAGTCCAAGACTTCCACTTTTTTTACCGTGGTTTCACAATTTTTCCAAATGAAAGGATTTCCAACCATCCACTGAATATGTAAAAGTATATTTATCATTTCTCTTCAGACTACCATGTGTTTAGTGTTAAATCTGTGTGTGTATACACAGACAGACCTCTGTACAAAATAAAGTAAACCCCTGGTTTGGTACTGCAAGAACTAAATTTAATCCTTCAGTTGCAGGCTTGACTCATTCTTAGGAAAGCTACGGAGACTGTTTTCTTCTTTTCACTCACTCCCAAGTCAATTATCTTGGCTAGGTAGTGGCTAATTACCCAGCCTACAGAAACACACATTTTCCACAGATCAAAAAAGTGCACCCTATAAAAGCTAAACATTTACGTTACCTGTTGAGTGTAGCTCAGCTGCCTGGTAAGATCCTCCTCAGTTCTTCTAAGTTTTTCTTCCAGCATCAATTTGTCGTCCTATGTACAAATTGACATCACATCAAATCCTCAGCTCCCAAAATACAAGTAGTGTTTAGTTTCCACTTAATCAGCATTGGCTGCCTAAGAAACCATATACCCACTGTATTTGTGGAACAAAAATCCTCTTATTAAATAAGCATCATATGAGATAAAATATAATTAATAAATGTAAAAGAATGGCATTAGCCCACAATGCAGAAACTCTGAATTAAATTCATACCGATTTTTTATAATAGTATCTTAGCATGAAGACTTGTTTACAAAGATGTGTCACGAGACCTATAATTGCCCATGAAATCAAACTAGCATGCTACCAACTGCATCAACATTCCAGTTTTCATTTGCTATTTATAGCTCCTAGCCCCTTGCAGTCCATCAAGGCTCTCCATGTAATTACATGGAGACCACGCTTTCCTACACCCAACTGCAGAGCCAGGAGGGCAAGGCTGCAGGGAGCTACTGCTGCAGCTGCTCTGTCCATCAGCACAGGCTGAGACACTGAGGCCTGCAGAGGCATCCAAGAGCTGCATGCAGAGAATACCTCACTTCATGTTCCAGTGACAGGGCTTGGCTGAATACACAGCTCAGATTTTCACTGCCAGAGTGACAGTAACAGTTTAGTTCTCACAACATGCACCCAAGCGGCTGCATGCAATGACACGTATGGGCTAAAAGGGAAAATAAACCAATGTGGTTCATACTTCTGAAGCATTCAGACTGAAAAAAACGCTTAAGTACACACAGCATCAGGGCCTAGTTGCAGTTATGACAAACCTTCATTTTACCTTAAGGCATTTCAAACAGTTGGCTAAAAATTTCTTTATTTCTGAATCAGTTCCTGGTAGGAATTTTAGAGAAAGATGGGTAAGATGTTTAAAAGGGTTGGTCTCCACAACATTTAAAGCGACAGGTGTGTGATCTAGAGCAGATGCTGAAGAAACTAATTGCAGTAAAAACCTAGGGAAAAACCAAAATAATCAAATGTTAAGCATATTTTTTTCTGAAACTACTTTTAGATCCTACAAGCTATTTCCAAATAAAATGCATTTGTTTATGTGCAATAAAAGGCTGTCCCGTTTTTGTTTGAGAAAGAATTATACAATTCAATCCCTATGTTGCAGTTAATATTACAAAAAAATATCAACTAAAATACTCGCACCCTATAATAAGGAATGTACAAAACTAATGAGTTTATTTATTTGTAAAATTTTCAGCAGCCCATTTTGGACTTGGGAGCGCAAAACCAAGTAGGGCCTTTGTAACCAAATTCAAAAGGAAAACAGACTCCTGACTTTTCGGTATCCAACAAACTAGTAAAATCCACAGCCCACAGGACACAGTCAGGAAATGGCCTGACTGCCTGGAGTGGAGTTGGGCCCGGGGCTTTCCTTGGTACCCACACAAACAGAAATAACATATCAAAAGGCCACTAAAAGGAAGACTGGATCTCAGGTCTCCCCCTTCACATTTTAATACCTGAATACTGAAAGGGAAGAAAATAAATCCTTGTCAGAATGTCCTATAACCTTGCCTTTTCCTGGGAAGCTGGATGATTTACACCTTGCTCCACCAATTTCAGATCAGCTCTCTAGCATTAAATTATTAAAAAATAAAAAACCAAAACAGAACAAACCCAAACCCAACAGTGCTGCATTCTTGCACATCTGCCAGCTTGTGAAGCTTGCCAGTTTCAACTCAGACGCAGAGACTGTTACTAGACACCAATTCCACCACTCAGTCCTCCTGAGAGCTGGGTTTTGTCTGTTAGAACCACTGACTCAAATCTGGGTGTGTCAGGAGCACGTTAAACTATCCTTGTTCTACTGATTCTTCTCTATCTGAGGGACTGACAGGTGTTTTAAGAACTCAACACACACACACAGAGTAACATGTAACATGCTTATGACATACCTTGGGGTGTCTTTGTTCTGTTCCTGAATGCATTGCTGAAGCAGATCTATAAATTTTTGTGGGAAAGCAGAGAAGTCTACCAAGAGACCTTGCTGGGACTTCAAACTATATAAATAGATTTGGAATAAAAATATTAACAATATATAGAAGAGAAATTTATTTCCTATAAAATATTTTGTTCACACTAGTAGAAAAAACAAATTCTGATAATGTCATTAAACATGCTCCTTTGAGTAGGCATCTTCCTCACAGCACGGAGGTTGTTGGACAGGGCACGTGGAAGAGGCACAGGACAGTGAGGGGACACTCCCCCATCACTAAGACTATCTGCCTGCTTGGCTATTTGACTGCTCCCCTTCACCACAGACACAATAAAGTCAGAGAAAGAAACTCCATCAGCGAATGCACAAAGTTGTACCTCTGTGTAACAAAACACTTCTGCACCTCTGCTTTGCAAACACTATTTGAATTTTGCCTCTTGGTCTGCATGCTGACCACACCTCTCTTTTTAAAAACACACCAAAACACTCCCCCCCCCAAGAAAAACAAAACAAACAAACAAAATCGATGATCAACCCAAAAAAACCCCAAAATAAAAACAAAACCACACGAACAAACCCAAAGAAAGCAGAAATCTGAACTGTTCATGCTTGATGCCCAAATCTGATGATCAATGATCAAATTCTGAGCAAGTAAATGAGACCCGACAGTACAACTAGTATGCAGTGTATGGTCAGTGAATCTATGTCCAGGCAGACTTATTTCCTGAAGTAGTTCACAGGCACAGAACAGTCTATAAGAAGTAGTTACAAACACAAGATGCAATCAGCAACATGAACTGCGGCACTGTATCCACGCAGGGAACTTTACATCAGGATCCCACATCCATCTGCGTAACCCTGAGCCGATCCCTCTCCTGCACTTGGCTGTTTCACCAACTGCTCAAAGAGAGCCATGCTGCCAAAACACTGACAAACTCCACAAGGAAAAATGTAAAAACCTAAGTTCTAACACAGATCATTCCAAGCTAAAAATATTCCCCCATTCGTTTTTGCCATTTAGAAACATTCTACAGAGAAAACATTATAATTTCACTTACCTTTGAAAATCTTCCTCAGATATGACAAGGTTATAAAGGAAAAAAGGATCAGTATCATCAGTCAATCGAACAGCTAAGTCCTGAAAAGATGGACATTTAAATATGATTTAAAATATTATTAACCACCCAGAAGTGTTTAAATATTTTAAACCAATATTGCAAACAGTATTGAATGTTTCCAATGTTTAACCAAAAATACGATAGAATTGTGGCAACTAATTTAGAATGTGTAAAACATTAAACATAACTTCAAATATTACAGTGGGAAAACAAGGAAAACTGTTTTTCCCAAAAATAAACCAAGTAAAAACCTTCAACTCTGAACAGCAAAGGTTTCAAAATTCCGTGTGTATTCATGCTTTTCTGGAAAGAAAACTATTTGCTATTTTTCCTCTTATCATGAAACAGAGTGTAGTACTAGCAGTCCCCTGTAATGGGTCACAAGCACATCATTCCCATAACTGGAAATTTTTCAGAGCATACTGCTTCTAAAAGTTTAAGAAACCACCTCTGAAGAGTTTATATGCTGGAATGTGAAGCAAATATAGAATGGATAGAGCTGAAGTCCAGTAATCTAATAAAGAAAACAGCAGCACTGTGCTGCTTAGCCTTTAAACTGATGCTCATTTGTTCACTGGAGGCCTACACAGTGTTTTGGAAAAACTGCCTTCTCTGAAAGCATTGAATCTTGCACTACAAGGAAGGGGTTATGCAAAACACCTGGTACATCAGACACAGCCACCTGTCCCCTGTAACAAGGCTCATACCTGAAGAATATTGTATTCCCTGACAGAGGTAAAAAAGTAGAAACCTGACAGCTCTTCCAACATAATGAAATGTGCCCACAGCACAGGTACAGGCACAGAACTGAAACACATTTCAGTAATTCAGGTGCCAGTGACACCACCAAAACTCTCAGCTGGAGATGCACAAACCAACTCAGGGACTGACACAAGCAGACAGTTCACACTGACACTAACACCACCCTGAGCACATGGGGCAGACTGATGGGTGGGATAAAAGCACCTGCTCAGTCTGATGTCCCATGAGCTGATGAAGCACTTGTCTTTTCAGACTAACTGCTCACTGATGTACCCAACTGCACTTCCATGTTCCTCCTGACTCAGCCTGCAGCATGGAACACAATTCCTAACTGAACTGCTTCTCCACAGTGTTACTTCACAGAATTACTATCATCACTGCCACCATCAGGAGAATCTTACCAAGAAATGCTGTAATCCTTTACAAACAAATCTTTACTCAATAACACTATAACCAACTCATGATCAATCTTGACATCAAGCTGAGTGCACGTACAGTTTAAGAGACAATTCAGACATATAACAAAAGAGATTACTATTGGAGATGTTGTAATCTCATTGCTACTTTCCTTAAGATAGAAGATGAGGGGTTTTTTTTACTGCCAATTTAGTACCTCAGACTAATTACCTTTAGTCTCAGGTACTGTTCTGAATCTCTAACCCATACTAAGACCCATGTACAATCAAACTAAAAGAGGGGGATAAAAAGGCTAGGAGGAAAAAAAAACCGAAACCACACCATCCCAAACCAACTAAATTACTCAATAAATTATATAAAAAATAAAATAAGGTCAAATGAAAAATGCTAAATTGCTATTTCCTTTGCCTATTTATCCTTTAATAAAATGGAATTCAGGTAATACCTAATGAATGACATAGATATGACTCATCTACCAACCTTTCTATGAACAGGACTAGAAATTGACAGCAGCTCAATATTCACTCGAACATTTAATCTCCTGCATACAAAAAAAAAAAAAAAAAGCAAATCAAGAAAACATTCTTGAAACAACATATTCACAGCTGCATTATAGGAAGCAATGACATTTCAAAAACAAAAACTTCAACAAAAACATTAAGAAAGTTCCCAAAGATGACTACTACTAAGATGTAACAGCTTCAGTTATCACTGCAACTCCTCGGTCACTGATGTTTTTTTTGCTGCTTGCTTGTTATCCACCAACAGCAATGAGAAGTTTTGAAAATCTGTCCAGAAAGCATAACCTTTGGAAAAACCTGTTGAAATTCATTAACGATTGCTGAAACTTCTGACAGTCAC